AAAAAATGTGTCCAAAATGTGTCTTTTGCAAATTTTTAATAGCAAGTGATTCAAGTGTTCCTTTCCCCATCCATCGTCTACCTCTTATTTCATTTTCAGGGTCGTGGAAGGAGCCAATCACAGCTATTTACAGGCGAGGGCGGGGCCACCTAGGGGCAAAAATAGGTAGATCTCTCTCCAAACAAACTTTTGGCCAGTTGCAGCAGCACGGGGGTCACTGACAGTTCTCTGACTACAGCCACCCACCTTCTAAAAACCAAACCGTCTCCATGACGTGAAAGAGAAACTTATAAACCCCAGATAGTAAAAGCAAAGATTTGAGAGATTCAAGTGTTGTCAAAAAAGACAAACAAAACCAATGACAATAGCAGAAAACTGAAAGCTAATTTTAAAAAAAAAAATCAGTAGGGATTGGTTTTGTCCTGAAGTAAAAAAAAACACCTTTAGTCTGTTTCCATGGTGATGTAGGAGGAGCCAGCACCAAGCTCAGCGCCGTCATCTCTGCAGAAAGTGTCGTCGTTAGCCAACTGGGAGGAGGAGGAGGAGGAGGAGGAGGCAGAGCTGCTGTTAGGAGGTGGAAGTGTGGGTTTACGAAGTTTGTCCTGACGGTGGTAAAACAGGACGTAAGCAGCGTTTGTCTGCGAGAGAAGGAGAAAGAAGACGAGAAAAAGACGATGATCTCTGTGACATCATCACTGTTGGCCGAGCCAATGTACGCTGTTTCATTCACTAATTCAAATTGTTAATGAGGTATATTTGTATAAATGGTTAATTATATTCATAATTACACAGTTATATGTATAACTGCACGAGTTATATTCATTAAAAAAATTTCAACAACGCATTATCATCATTGGAGTGTCTTAACCTCACTAAGAAAACGAACAAAAACATCATTGGTAAGATTAAGAGAATCATAATATAAACATAGCAATATAAAAAAATGTAATAAAAAATCTTAAACAGATTAACGCAGACTTCATTTAAGATTTGAAACCTTAAAACTATCACGTTCTCCTAAAACATCTGGGATCCTTTAAGCTTTCTCTCGATTGAAAATTCAAACGTTGTAAAGACGAGACACTGACCACAATCTGATCCTCGGAGGCAAAGGTGACTTTGCTGTCGTCAAAGTAGTACCACTGGGCGTTGTCCTTGTTCTGAGCGTAGCTGGTGTCTGAAAACAGAAAAGACCCAACACCTGTAAATTCAAACAGTTACCAGGACGGCAGCTCATCATGTGTTAACGTTCCACAGTGAACTCCAGTAGAACCACTTTACAGTTAGGAGAAGTAGTGGGACCACAACTCACATTGGGATTCCTTTCCTAACTTCATTTTTCGCCACAAGTACTGACATGGGTACTGATGTACTCACTGTACATCAGTACCCATGTCAGTAGCCTACACTAGAACATTGGTAACATCATAATCTAGGACATGAGGACATTAGAAGAGACTAAGACTTACTCCTAGGAGCCATAGTGGAGCGCAAAAAGTTCCCCAAAAAACAACACAAACCCTAATCCTATCGCTAGCCCTATCCCAAACCGAAACGTTGGGTTTGGGATAGGGCTAGAGTTAATTAAAATTAGGGTTAGCATGAGTGATCGCGAAAGGAATAGAGTAACTTCAGATTAGATTTGGGTTCAGGTTAGGGATAGAGTTAGTTGGGATTAGGGTTAGGCCTAGTGTTCGAGATAGGCATAGAGTTACTTCAGATTAGGTTAGGGTTCAGGGTAAAGATAAAGTTATTCAGGATTAGGATTAGGGTTCTGTGGTGTACAACCGGCAAATGTAAACAAAGCCGGCATCCGTTCGGAGCGCAGCGTGACAACGTATTTGTTTCCCGCGCGACGACAACAACAACGGTACCAACAAGAAACGGTAGGAATGTGTGTATTTTCTTACAATGTCCATCTCTGAGTCCTCCGTAGTGATTGGACACAGCGATGAGGTCATAGTAGCTAGGAGGCTCCCCATCCTCCAGGTGTTTCCTCAAGAGGAAGTGTGAAAAATCTAGGTTTCTGAAAAAAAAAAAACAAAAAAACAACAAGCACAAGACACAGTTTGAACCTTTGTGAATAAATGGGATTCAGGTGAACTTTGAACTTTCCAGGGTGAGAGGTCTGTACCTGAGAGGAAAATCCACGATGCTGTCCAGCTTCTCTCTGGTGAACTTGGTGTAAGAAAACCTCTTCAGGTGGATGATGAGAACTTCAGGAAGAGACCACAGGTCCAGCTTCTTAGTGGCTAACTGGTGTTTCTTGCACACAGGACAGTACCTGAACAAACACACACACACACACACACACACACACACACACAGCAATGAATGACGTTAAAAAAAACCCGGATAAATAAGTCAAGGTAAGAGACAGCAAAAAGCAGAATTAACAAAACATCTATCTTTTAAGTAAACCTAATAAGCCAAGAATGTGCAAAATGAAAAGAAATGAATTAAATCAAGAGGATGGCTGATAGCTAGCCACGAAATAAAAGTTAGCCATCAATACTACAAAACATAAATTTAGAGCAATATTAACTTTTAATATTAACAATTAATTTCCAATTCCGATATCAACCGATACCAATATACATAGGCCGGGTAATATTTATTTATCTGTACACATTACTGTATAAGTATGAGATCGATTAAATGAGCTCCAATCCTGCCATCTAGTGACTTTCACTTCAATATACAGCCGTTTACCCACCAAAATTATTTTTAGAGCACACATCATTTGGCGAAACCCAGGCATTGTGTTATCGGGTTTCCATTACCGAAGGAAAAACCGATGAAGATCCTTACAGGTATTACATAATATGCTAACATCGGGCCGGTAATATCAATCGGCCGATATTATTGGATATCCCTGCGTGAATTATGTGAGATATACTAAAGCACCCGCGGGGTATGTTCTAAAATAAAACCTAGTCAACAAGAGGGTTTGTATAGGTGTATTTTGACTATAGAAAAACAGGTGTTTAGTAGAAAGTACTAGAATGGTTAGTTATTAGTAACGCTGAGCTAACACTTTAACAGGTCAGTGAAGCTGACCTGTAACTTTGTCATTGCACTATGTAGGGCATAGGTCACCAATGTGAACTTAGTCAACAATCAGTTCCACTTGATGATATTCAAATGGATCAGTGACGATGGTAAGAAGAGTGTCTACTGTTGTATGTCCCAGAACTGATTATTATTACATTGTTCAGGAAGTCAACATAATGTAAAGCTTTGTCAAAGAAATTATTAAACGTTTATATTTGACCTGGAGTGTCGCGCCGGCGTGTGTTTCTGTGTTTCTGTGTGTGTGTGTTACCATGGGTTCTCCTCCTCCAACGTCTCCACTGTGGTGAACAGCTCGATGCACTCCTGCAGTTGAACCGTGGTCTGCTGCTGAGGAACATCCATGCTGGGGTGTTTTACATACTTCTACACAGAACACAAACAAACAAACACAATCGTTCAGTCAATCATCTCCATCATTGGTTGAACTGTATAACAACACAACAACAACAACATTCCGTAAAAACGACCTCTGCTTCGTTCTCATTGTAGAACCTCTTCTTCATGTCTGGGTCCCAGTCGATGGCCACGTACGGCTGAGCTGTGGAGACAACAGTCGTTACTGGTGTAATGTGTGTGTGTGTCTGTGTGTGTGTGTTCAGGTTTGTCCACATTTTGACTCACAGCAGAAGGACACAGCACTTCCTCCCTCTCCCATTCCTCTCTCTGTGGTCCCGTTTGAGTTGACAGCCTGGATGGTAAACAAGTTCCTCCTCTTTTTATGACACGCCCTCCTCTTCGCCGGCTGTTCAACAGTCAGAGGGCTGGGAGACCGCGCCGCCTCCTCCTGCTTGTTATCATTGTCTGTCGTTTCATCGGGTTGGGCTGTGGTCTCAGTGGGCGGTTCTGAGTCAGAGCGGCTTGATCCTGCGCACTGATCCACATCCTCTGGACAGCTGGCAGCAGCGGCGGCGGCGGCAGCAGCAGGCTGGTCCGCCTGGTCCTGAGAACCGGTACTGGTTTCACTGTCGGCGTTGTCTACGGAGGGTGTAGAGTTGTTGAGGTTGGGCACCAGGTCTGCAGCGGAGCAGCTGGATATTTGGCTGCATGCTGGAGCGTCGCCGTAACAGAGTTCCGAGGAGGAGGGTTCAACGTTGTCCGTTTCCTCCTGCTGCTCGTCTGAAAAAATAAATTAAAAAAAATCAGAGCAGGGGAAAGAACGATGAAATGAGTTGTGAGGCCGAGCGACAGGAGACGATACCATCGCTGATGCCGTTTATCTGGGTCTTGTAAATCTCTTCCTCATCGTGATCCTCCTCTTCCTCCTCCTCCAACTCCTCGGAGGGATCAGGAGGCCGCACGTAGCGACTGCAGAAACACACAGAACCACATGTTTTTCATACGCAGGGAACCCGACGGATTTTTAATCTGCTCTCACTGCAATCTCTGACTCACGCCAGTCTCTGCAGGAAGAGGTGGTATAGCGCCTCCTGACTGCAGCTGCTGCGCGGCAGGTTGAGCAGCAGCGGGTGTCCAAACAGCGAGGTGCCGTACGTGCTGCTGCCAGAGCCGTAGTCTCTGTACTGAGAGCGCTCCCGCAGGTAAAGGGCCAGCATTACGTGCTCTTCTTCGTCCTCCGGCTGCGGCTGCTGCAGCTCATACCTGCAAATACGAACAGAAATGCAAATGAGCACACGCACGCACGCACGCACACACAAATAAACACGGACGGCAAACAAAGTGTGCGTGTTTACTCACACAAAGATGTCATCTCTGTCCAGGATGCAGCTCAGAGATTCCTCAGCTGTGTAGATTTTATAGAAGCGATGGTTAAAGACATCGGCGACCACCATCTGTACACACGAACATACAGCATTATGGTTAATACTCTCATCGACATGCCTGGCCTGTTACATGTCAGAGGATTTTAGATCAGGTGTGAATTAGCTATAGAAAGACGCACACAAAAAAAAAAACACTACAGTAGGTCAGTGGTTCTCAAAGTGGGGGTTGCAGATGGCGACAGATCTTAAAATCTTCACGGATTCCAATAAAAGTTATTGCACTTTATTGTTAGAAATAAAGCTGGGATTGGATGAGTGCTGTGAACATTTACTACTGCACGTTGTCCTATCTACAAAGGCCTACAAATATAAGTAGGTTAAGGACAAAGTGAAAGAGAGAAATCAAAATGAGACGTGAGAAATGAGTTCCTCTTTGGAGGCGCTAACATGAGTAAAGGTCGAGCTAAACAGACACATACGTAATCTCACTCTTCTCTTTCCTGCTCACTCACACGTCGTTTAAATACCCCAAAATGCCAGAAAGAGCAGTACGGACAGTACGCTCTAGTACAGACCTGGGCAAACTACGGTCCGAGGGGCCCGATGTGGCCCGTTTGGCATCATCGTTTGGCCCTCGTATAATGGCCAAACTTGTCCATTATACTTCTGACGTTTCCCTGCAATGCCAGCATTTTCCAAATAGATGGCGCAGAAGGCTTAAAAACATTTTAGCATTTTAGCATATCACGCACGACTTTTACATGTCATTTATCTTACTTCGCATAAACACCGCCATCTATCTGCTCTTTATTCAAATGTCAAATTTTTAACCCTACTATAGCCAGCGCTACCTCAGGTAAAAAAACCAAAATATGTGCAACATCGCTCACTTTCACGAGCAGTATTCTTCACTCGTTCAGTATTTCACCAACAACTGTAATATGTGCACTTATTTCATTGTTATTATTTCACATTTATATTGGTTTATATCTGCAAACACAGCAGTAAAAATGTGAATCCTTATCTAAAGGGCAGGCAGATTATAGTGTTGTACTTTATTTCCTTATATACTCTGTACTGTACTTTGCTTCTGTAAACACTACGTTTCCACACTGCGGGACAAATAAAAAAAAATCCTTATCTTAACCTCACTCTCTACCTCCATCTCCCTTCCCCTCTCACCTGTGTTGAAGGAACATCAGTCATCTCTGACAACGCTGAGCACAGGTCCAACACTTTCCCACTTTTAGGCACAGTGACGCGATGCTGCGGACAACACAACAATGACGTCATTAAGGTTTATTGGCTTGTGAAGAGAAAACAAACGTGTCCGTGCAGCGACGTCGGCGTTACCTGCACGGGCTTGGAGAGAGGATCCAGTGAAACGAAGAAAACCTCCATCACTCGTTCTTTGCTGACAGGAAGTGGGACGCTGAGGTAACAGAAGGGGTCAAATGTCACCGAGACCTTGTGGCACTGGGGACAAACGAGGGTGGATTTGAAGAGACCGTGAAATGTGTCCACGATCACCGAATTGTTCCTCCTGCGGTGGTTGCGCCACGCCTCCTCTGCCACTTCCTGCAACACAGAAGAAGAAATGAAAACCACGGCATGATTCGATTCCTTTGTTAATACCGTAATTTCCGGACTATAAGCAACTACTTGATTTCACACGCTTTGAACCCTGCCGCTCAAACAATCGTGCGGCTAATTTATGGATTTTTAAGGGTTAGCGAAGTTCATACCGCTAGCCATCAATGACTTTTCTGGTAGGCTTCTGTGTGTTATACGAGTAGCATATGTCGTCCTGTCATGTTGAAGTGTGAGTTGGTTATACAGGAGCTGTTAAAACTCTGTTTCTGTTCTGTTGTGGTCAATGGGGCTGATAATAAAGACACCAACTTCTCTGTTTCTGTTTACCTCTGCTGCGGACAAGCACAAAGTGAAGGGAGTTAGCCCCGGAGCTAATGTTAGCTTCGGCCCTGAAACAGATCAATAAGTCTCCTCTGTTTATTCCAACTACGGGGTGTCGAAGCAGGAAAGAGCTAACGTGTAACCAGCCATGTTACAGGCATGGGTATAAAAAAAAACATTTATTTAATTATTAAAAAGTAAAAAAAAAAGCTTCCTCTGTAAATATCCCATGTTACAACCAGACCTGTGGCTTATAGAGAAGTGCGGCCTATTTTTGTACAATTTTTTTTTTTTCAGAAGTGCGGCCTATATATGTACAATTTATTTATTTTAAATTTAGTGGTTGCGACCTATATTCAGGTGCGCTCAATAGTCTAGAAATTATGGTACTTATATATTAAGGCGGCACAAGACTTAATACTGAGGCATACAGTGTTTCCTCTTTCTAAAAAGAGTTCAAATGACCTGAAGGTCTACGCATGTCTGTGACAGTTTCAGTCTCTCACCTGGTCCGGTCGTCCCTCTGCGTCCCTCAGCTCGATGTATTCTTTGTTTTTGACTCGGTTCAGATCTTCATGAAGACCGTCCAGCAAAAAAGACAGAAGCTCCTGGCTGTCGTGCTGCTGGTAACCGAGGAACTGAGATGCAAAGTGACCTACTTTTGTCTGGACACACACACACAGACACAAAGACACAGACACATGATTCTTAGTTATGTATAATGCCTGTGTTTCTCTTCAGGTTAAAGTCTTGTAAATGAGTTACTTTGGTGTTTAAAAGACGACCCCATTCTTCCCAACCTCCTTCCCTCATCTTTCATCTTGTTGTCGTTACCTTAAAAACACGTGGGACCACTGAGTAATGCCGGCCCGACCACATCTGTTTGATGACATCAGCAAAGGCCTCTGCAATCTCACCCTTCATCCCCAGCGGGTTGGTGAAGTTCAGCTCCTCCAGGTAAGAGTTCTGCTGGAAGTACTCAGTGAGGGGAGGAGTGTTGCTCAGACACTGCAGACACACACACACACAGGCATGAGTCACAACAGGTTCAAACTAGGGATGTCTGATAATATCGGCTGAGCAAAATTATCGTTAACGCCTGGGTTTGGCCAAAGATGCTGGAATTGTTTGTAGGGTGCTGCGACGTTTACCACAGTTTTGGGGCAAACGGATGCTTATATCGGTATCGGTTGATATCTGAATTGGAAATTAGGTGTTTGGACAACATCGGCCTATCTAAGTTGCCGTATTTTCTGGACTATAAGGCGCACTTAAAAGCCTTTACTTTTCTCAAAATTGCGCTTACTGAGCTCGAACGGATTTTATAAAGCCAAACCATGCTGCGCATCGACATGACGGCACTCGACTGAAGCACACCGGAAGCCAACAATGACGTTTAACTCTATTGTCACAATTAAAAGATGCTCAACAACAATTGTTACAGCAACGTCGCGTCGTGCCTCCACACACCCGGAGACTCTGCGTTGTGGTTTTATATTGTCGATGTATGTTGCGATGTAGGACGACCCAGACGCATGGTTGTCGACTTTTTCGTGGTCAAAAACTTTTTATTTCTCCGTTTTTATCGATACAGGCAAAAAAAACATGCGCACTTCCGCACGGAACAGCGTCAAAACAACAATACGGTGACCACCCACAACAAAAATAGTGACAAACGCCTGACTCCGGAGGGGCGAACAACCACAACAGCGACCTCCTGTGTCCAACTTAGGTCACTACACTCTTCCACAAATCTCCGTCCCTATTGATCTGCGACGACCGCTGACTGTTTTGTTTCGCTTAATGTACCTTATAACCCGGTGCACCTTATGGTACGAAATATACGGTAATATCAGACATCCCTTATCATCACCATAAAAGTTTGTAGACGGTTTGAAACAGGTTTGCTCCTGCAGCAGAGACAACACCAAGCAGGTCCCTCGACAAAGTGATGAAGATTTATCAACAGTTCATCCACACCGATCATCAAGTCCGGAGTAACATTATGAAGTGGATCAAGACGAAACCGCAACAACAACAGAAATTGATGGATGTGGATACGAAGCAGATTTATCCAAAAAAACATCAGCATGAGTGATGGTGGTGCAGGTCAATATAATAGAAACAAAAATCACTCAAACAGATATAAATCGGTTGAAATACTTCCATGAAAGCAGACAAATGCGAGTGAAATTGTAGAATAACTGACTCCAAACTTGTACCGTTTCCACATTGGCCCATAATACGGTATTAGCTGCGAACTAGTTTTCCACATTGGCCCATAATACGGTATTAGCTAGTTTTGCTGCTAAAGTAATGCACACTTGCTCCTCCCATTAAAAACGAATGCGCTACGCTGATCACATGACAACGTGTCAATGCCAATTTAGCAATCATTCATCATTCCGAATGTGACCAAAACTGGTAAGAATGTGAAGTCGGAACCGAAGTGTATTTGCTACGCTTGAGCTTCTATGGATTGTTCGAATCGAGTGTGAAAAGGGTATTAGAGCGTGCCTAGCACAGCCATGTGACTGATGGTGTGTCTGATGATGCGACTTTGAGCAGAGGCATTAGTAGTAGGCTTCGCTGATGCTCTGCTCATCCCCTAAGAGTGTGTTTGTTTGTGCACAGACCTGCAGAGCAGAGTTCATGAAACAGGTGTTTCCCAAATTGGTGAGACCACAGACGCCAGGCTGTCCTCTGTACGAGTCCTGCTCCTCGACAGAGTTTCTCCTGAAAACAACCACAAGAAGACGTCATCAGCACGCGCAGGTCATCACAGGTTAGGGAGTGTCCTGAGTAACGTTAGTTAGCAAATGCCCAGTGATCTGAATTTACATAAAAGTGTCGACAAGAGAATAAAATATGACAACAGAAACAGAGGGTGATCTTACATGATTTGAGGTCTGGAGCTCGGCCATGTGCCGTCAGCATTTCTTGTCTCCATGATCACCGTCTGAACACAGACGCACGCATGCACACTGTCTCCATGATCACCGTCTGAACACAGGCGCACGCACGCACACAAAAAAACCCCCCACATTTTTACAGCATTATTAAGCACAGCGAGAGAACGTGTGTTTTCATGTGTGTGTACTTACCATCCCTGAGCTCAGACAGGCGTCCAGCACGCTAATGTTGGTGTTCCTGAGACGCTCGCAGCTGTTGTCTGAACTCTTCATCCAAAGACGACACTCGGAGCCCGCAGACACGGAGAAGGCCTGACACATCGACCTCTGGATGGCGTCTAAAACACACGCACGTGCAGACAAACCTGAGCATCTTACGTACCTTTACCGATTTAAGTCATACATTTAACTTTTTCATGAAGAAAAATATATATATATATAAACCACACACACCAAAGAGAAAATCATTCTTTTTCATTACAGCCCACAACAGTGGTTGATCCACTGCTGCCCATCACCAAGTTCAAATATGTTGTTTTCAGCGCCGTTAAAACTAACACGATAAAGACGGTCATTAAATTGTGAATATGAATCTAATTAAAAATAGATTTTAAACATTCATTTTAACATTTTACCACTGTAATTCCACTTACATTCACTCATTGTTGCTATTTTTGGTCAAATTTTTTCAGCAATGGCCAAGTGAAAAAAGTTCCTGAAAATTCATTTCAAAATAATTTCACCAACTCAGGATCAGCTTTTGATAAGTTACAGAACTATTTAATTTGAAACATTAATAGACCAGTTTACTTAAGTAATGGTCCGGGTAATTAAAACGATGTTTATAGCTTCCCCTGCAGAGCTCCGGGTGATTAAAACAATGTTTATAGCTTCCCCTGCAGAGCAGGAAATCGACAAGCTACACATTCTGTGTTAATGAACTTTAGCACAAAATTCCAGTTTACTGGAATTCTAAAGATTTCTAAAGAAATCTTTAGAATTCCAAGATAGTGTCGACAGAGACCGACACGCAAACTCACAGATCTTTTCCGCACGACTGAACTGTGCTGTGACGACATTTTCCATGTTGCTGTGGAGACAGAGAAAGATCTCCACGGGGTAAACCTCCACCTTTAGAGTGCTCGGTAGGTCTACCACCTGAAACACACATACATAAAATTGTAGTTAAAATTGAATGCCAGTGGGAGGCACTACCGAGCCTGTCAGTTCAGTGGTCTTACCTTGCGTTCCAGCGCCGGCTGACTGTCAACCATGCTGTACCAGGACAGCAGTTTGTGCCACGCCTCTGATGGCAACAAGACAAAGTCTTCGTTCTCTACCAGACGTTCCTTTAGGTGAAACGATTCCAGATCTGGAGATCGGGAATGACAACAATGTAAAAGATCAATACGTCACATGACGTGACTGTAGCTTACAATCCATGCCAGTCACGATCCCAGGTGAGGAGATCGATCGTACGGAAGACAACAAGCACAATGATGTAATCTACAAGGTGAGGATGGGCAGACTAGGAAGATCATTTGTTGTTTTCAAAACATCAATATGTTGGAGACATCTTAGCAGTCTGTGGTTGCCAGTTCAATATACTTGGCTGTATTTTGCTGTGGGAGCAGCATCAGTGCTGGGAATGCCAGCAGGGTCAATAAACCCGACCAAGATTTTTTAAACTTTGGTTTCTTATTGACATTACAAAAAGGCTCAAAATTAGTGAAGTAATATATAAATTTCCCAAGTACGGGAAAGTACTATGACGGATTTGACACAGAAGCAAAACAGTTTCACTTTAACATCAGTACGCACTTGTAAAAGGACTTTAGGGAAGGGTTTATGTCTGTCAGTAAAACTGTCTGAATGTAATAAATGGGACCTTTCAACCACCAGGCTCCTTTTGGATATGTGGCCCTATGACACTTATATGATGTATTATTTAACGTATTTAACATATTTAATGTATTTTTGAAACAAACATCAGGTTCAATTGAAAAAGATCTAACGACAGAACATGTATAATGATGTTAGAAATCCAGTGAAATTACAAATACATTTTACCACAAACTAAGCCAGCTGCCTGTGGTAACTTAGACCTTTGGTCTACCATAAAGGCCACATTATGACCAGAACGTTCCATAACACTGACCCTCAAACAGCTCGGTGTTGTCAATCTGACCGGGAAAGGACGAAGAGTTCTGGTCTCCTGTCTCCACAAACTCCTTCCACTGTTCGAACCAGTGTCGCTCCAACACATACCTGCAACACACACATGGTCCACGAGGTGCATTCAACCAACCGGCAAAAAAAAACAACAGTCTATTTCTGTCAGTTTGCTGTGGAGTGATCCAACAACAGCCACTTAAAATGGTTTAAAAACAGCAGTTTCACTATAAACCAACATCTTCAAAGATGAAAATGATACAAACAAAGGCAAAGGGGCTTTCCTTTCATCATCAGCATATTCATCTACTGAATCTGAGGGGTTAACAATGGCCATATGGCTAAATGTGGTATTCTACTGAATCTGAGGGGTTAACAATGGCTATATGGCTAAATGTGGCTTCATCAACGCAAGTCCTGTGATATTCTTGCAGCTAGAATCACACAGGACTTGAACGCGTCTTCTGTCCTGTGACTGGACCTGATGCTTCCCATGCTTTTTGATGTTAAAAAAAATTATTTGATCGATAAGTTGAAAATCATCTCACGTCAAAATAATCATAATCAGTTGTAGCCTTACGACTCCATGACCACAACACAACCCAAAGTGTTTTTTTAAAGACCCGTACTGACCATTCTTAAAGCCAACGGGGAAACTCACAGATTGTTAAGAACGTGTAGTAAATCAGACTTTTTGATTTTAACTCCAAAAAATAAAAAATAAATAAAAGACCCTTGGGCATTTATGAAGGCTAAACTCCATGCAGCAATATGACAGATTTCTTTAAGCAACAACACTTCAATCACCAGGTGTTTTTTACAACACAGAAAAACAGAAATGGCAAAATAGAAAAACCTCAATAACGTCCCCCACGGTCATTAATAAAAGATGTATTCAGTAGTACAACAGCAGTACTTCCAGCATTTACTATATGTTGACTATTTACTCTGGGCTATGATTGACAAGGCTACCACAATCTTGGATTTAGTTACTGGATTAAGTGACTGGAAGTTATATAACACAGTTTGCCAAAATGTTAACTACATTTAAAGTATGGCGTGAAAACAAATTCAAATTTTAGAATATATAAATATAAATAGCTTGGTCCTGTGTTACCCCATGGTATAAGTATTTATGTATTCTTTAGACTTCTTTAGACTTCTTTAGAAAGCGAAATTTGCTCAACAAAAGTGACACAGCTGGTATAGCAGTCTATGGAGAATTGCATTTTTTTTCTTCCTTGTTTTTTTTAGTGTTCCATCATTTTCTTATCTTAAAGCCATATCATCTTTAAAAAATTAAAACAAATATGATGATCCCCCTCCTCCTGTTACACAGCTGAACTTTTAATTTTGTACATTTATTATGGTGTTGCTTTGTCTTCTAATATTAGATTTTTTTATATATTACATTTAAGTTTTTATATAACGGAAGTTATTATTATAACCAAGTGTCATCGTCCCAGTGTTATTTTTAATTTTTAAATGTAGTAGTGACTATATTAGTGGCATTTATAAAGTGATGAAAAATTTGAACGACTTCCGTTTACATGAACTACACTGTATATATGTATTCATTTATTTTGAATGAATGAAACCGTGAGTAACCGTACTGTGAGCTTTCTAATGTTTTCTCGTGCATTTTGTGATAATAACGAATGCAATGACTTAGTCATATGGAAAGTATTTTTCTCCGAGCGGACCCTGAATACGTCTCCTCATCAGGTTGATAAGCTAACGTTAGCAGCGGCAGCTAATGTTGTGTTTTTAGCCCGCCTCGATGCAGGAAATGCCGAGACCAGGGTAGTGTCGATTAAACAAAAAGTACAGAACCATGAAATAGACATATCTACGCACATACACATATCAGTTCGTTGAAGCTACCGTAAAACCCGGTTAAAGAGTCGTGAAAATATCGTGTGATGATGCTAACACGGTTAGCTCTCCCACAGTTGCTGTATGTAACTGTGTGTTGGTATTTGGTTTCTGTATTTTCATTTTTCTCCCATTTTGTGTATCTGTATCGGAATCTCACCAGCTGTCTCCCGCACACAGTTCGGTTTCCCGCAACAGAGACTCGATCACCCGCCGCTGGGTCTCCAGGCCCGGGGGCTCCGCTGTGGAGCAGTGGCTGTTGAACGTCATGACTGTGGGTCAGTGCTCATAAAAAGGCAGAGCGACTTTCACAATGAGGCAGAGGTGGATAAAATCCACCGTCGCATTGATCGACGGCGAAAGGAAAGAAGCTAGCGCCGCTGCTACTTCAGCTGGAGGAGCTGCAGTGTTTGCGGAAGTAGGAAGTGGTTCATTCTGGAACTGTGACGGCTTCCTGTTCCTCGCCACACTTTTTTGCCAGTGGCCGCGCCTGCTTCAAAGGAAATAAATCGTTTTGATAATAAGTACAAGTTCACAGTACAATCACAAAAATATTTAAATCGTATTTTACCACAAATTTTCCGTTTCTTTTATACCCATGTTATTATACTTTACTTTTCCAACACAATCATGTATTACACTTATTATACTTTACTTTTCCAACACAATAATGTATTACACAGTGCCTTTTGATGTCAAATAATTAACTGGAAAGATAATGCAAACCAAGTACTGATATATTATAACAAAAAAAGACAGAACTTATTATTTAAATCTCTAAATTTAACTATCACCCTATTTGCTATAGTCATATAATCCTTTACGATAAATTGTAATTAAAAAAACATATCAGTGAAGTAAGAAGGCAGGTAAACACAGAGCCTTTCAATTATTTTATATGGAAATAATGATTTATTTAAATGTATTATTATTAAGATTTATGGAAGTCTATTTACACCACTTGGGGAAAAAAGTTCTTAAGTCAAATGAATGAGATACTAACTCATAAAAATTAGATAGTTTCCCATATATGTGGCCCATCAGGTCGGACAAATAAACGTTTGAATAGGTCAAGACATTACTGTTAAAAAAACCCATTAAAAATGGGTTGTATTTTGTATGTCACAAGCTATTCCAAAATCACACAGCATAGTTTGATTTGTAGATATATATTTACCGTGATTTTCACTCTTGTCAAAATTGAAAATGCTTCAGTCCTGTAAAAAAAAAAAATCAATTAATTGAAGCCATAAACAAATAACCAATCACAGACATTTAGGGGAGGGTCTTCGTGTGTTTCCGGATGTAGTACGTAGGTTTCCCTCAGCCAACCATCGTATTGACCAATAAGCTCTTGGCCAATCAGATGTGGGCTGGCTGTAGCAGTTACACGGCGGAAAACACTGTTGGCGGGATCACGTAGAAAGGAAACTGGTGTCATGGACGTGGATATGGCGGAGGCTGAGAGTACTCAGAAGCCACTACGGAGTGGAGTGAAGGAGAGCGCAGAAGTCTCGGATGCTCCGTCTACGAGCTCGGGAGGTTCTGCATCCTACGAAGTTCCGTGGGTGGAGAAATACCGGCCCCTGAAACTGGACGAGATCGTGGGCAACGAGGAGACTGTGCGCCGCTTGGAGGTTTTCTCCAGAGAGGGAAACGTGCCAAACATCATTATTGCAGGTATTTGTGTGTTTTTGATTTGTTTCAAACGAAAACCGCAAAAATATCAAAACCTAAATTTTGTTTGTTTGTGAAGAGTGCACTCATTGGTCATGTGAACGTTAATACAGGTCCTCCAGGCACAGGAAAAACCACCAGCATTCTGTGTTTAGCTCGAGCATTGTTGGGAGCGTCTATGAAGGAGGCTGTACTGGAGCTGAATGCTTCCAACGACAGGTAAAGCATATTAGCAATACAAAAAACAGATGTTTAGGAAGTTTTTTTAACTTTCTTATAAACACTAAACATCATGTACTTGCTAATATTAGGGTTTTCAGAACCTTTACAGAACATGAGGAATGTTTTATTTTTTATGCTAATATTAGGGTTTTCAGAACCTTTCCTAATGAGGAATGTTTTATTTTTTGTCAAGCATGCTAGTCTACGTATTTCTTTGTTGACGTCCCTGTTTGATTTAAATGATGACACAGTAACATTAATGAGAAACAACTAGAATGTCAGCTCTCTTTTCTGAATAAATTGTCCTTCACACACCAATTACAACAATTTTCCAACAGTTAGGTGAAATCTATGTCCTGTCCGCAGGGGTATAGATGTGGTGAGGAACAAAATCAAGATGTTTGCACAACAGAAAGTCACGTTGCCCAAAGGACGACATAAAATCATCATCCTGGATGAGGCTGACAGGTAGGATGATGGCTCTCTAAACATGGCGATTAATTGACTTTGTGATTTATTATCACTGTTACCAATTCTTCAAAACCAGCTGCAAGTTATACATCTTTATTATTTTGCTAGCAGACCGTAGTGGATTAGACGACCCTATTCGAATTCCTGGTGACTGCGCACGGGGTCCTGAGCCCACGGTTGAAAAGCACTGCCATAGCATCTTTGTTTTCTTACCTTGACAGTATGACCGATGGTGCTCAGCAGGCGCTGAGGAGGATCATGGAGATCTACTCGAAGACGACTCGTTTTGCTCTTGCATGCAACGCCTCTGACAAAATCATCGAGCCAATACAGTCTCGCTGCGCTGTGCTGCGTTACTCCAAACTGACGGACGGACAGATCCTGGCACGGCTGCAGGATGTGGTGGAAAGGGAGCGTTTGTCCGTGTCCGATGATGGCCTGGAGGCAGTCATTTTCACTGCACAGGGAGACATGAGACAGGTAAAGGGGGTGGAGTTGAAAATGCGGAGCTAACCTAGAACTCACAGAACATCATCGTCTTTTTCCCCTTCTTTTCAGGCGTTGAACAACTTACAGTCCACGCACGCCGGCTTTGGTTACATCAGTAGTGAAAACGTGTTCAAGGTGTGTGATGAGCCTCACCCGCTGATGGTTAAAAGCATGCTGGGACACTGCGTGGAGGGAAACATCGACCAGGCGTATAAAGTGGTGGAGCAGCTGTGGGCACTGGGCTATTCTCCTGAGGACATCATCGGAAACATCTTCAGGGTCTGTAAGACCTACAACATGGCGGAGTATCTCAAACTGGAATTCATAAAGGTGAAAATTAGCTCTGCTCACTTTCAGTACTGCAAAGGCTGGTTTACAATGAAATGTGGGTTGTACATGGAGGATGAGTGACAGGAAAAACATACAAGTCACATTTATATTTGAATTATTAATTTCACAAGAATCCGAAGAAGAACAAATCTGGACTGTACGCAGCAGGACCAACCAAACAACTAAAAAAAAAACAGTGTAAAATGACATCAACGTAAATCTGTTTCAAATCAAACTTCCAACGCCGTATAGTTCATGATAAACTGCTTGTCTCTTACCACAGGAGATCGGCTACACTCATATGCGAGTGGCCGAAGGAGTCAACTCTCTGCTGCAGATGGCTGGACTGGTGGCTCGGCTTTGCAACAAGACGTTGGCGCCCCCTGCCAGCTGAGGCTTTACCTGCTATTGTAGGTACTTTACGATGGTCCTCCTGGTAACTGATGCTCCGTACTCCACTCTTCGAGATGACAGACTAGATTTATCTGTTGCACTTGTTTCACATCAGAGACTCGGTGTCTCCCTCTAGAGGCACAATTGTGTAAAGCAAAACAAAATCCGCAACTCCTGTTTTGATAGTCCCAAGTGGAATCTTTGATGTAAATGTTCAAGAATATACAGCTTTGAAATAAAAGTACTTTGAGAAAGAATATAAAGACAAAACCCATCTGTATATAATTACCTAGTTTTCCTTTGTGTTCAGCATTTTTTACACCAATTAAACAGGTGGAAGTTACACGTTTTAATATGCCACTGAGCAGAGAAATAGAGATAAAGACATCAAATTAAATCCTGAAATGGGAAAGAAAGTGAGGCAGAATTTTACTCACAAAAAAGTAAAAAAAACTATGTGAAACTATGTGTATTTCTATGGGAAAGATGAACGAGATTATCTAAAGCAGTTATGCATGACAAAATGGAGATAGGCTAGAAACCATTTGTGGCGTAGAAAACAGCAAAATCGAGATGAGAAAACGTGTTTCTTCATCGATAAACTTTAATTCATTTCAAACCATTAACAGTAAAAGTTGTAGAACAAACAAAACACTTAAATACAAACCTGCAGAAAGTCCAGTGAACAAAGATAAAACTGTACCAGTTGTTACATTCACTTCATCACAATCAAATATATAACTATGGTTTTTCATCATTAGTTATAAATATATTTGTCAACAAGGCCACAACCAAAAAAAAAAAAAATCTAACTAGCATTTATACTTCCTGCTCTGGATGTATTTTTCCTGTCATCCAGTAGGGGATACCCTGACTGTTAGGCTACGTGGAAGCTGCACGCAGTGACATCGACTTCTTTCCGGACACTAAATAAGTGTGTCAGGTGACTTCAAATTGTTCACTTGTTTAAAAAAAAACCCAAAAAAACCCATATTCACTGATTCTACAAAACGCTAAAAGGTTTAAAGAAATGGATATGAAATGAAGAAGGAAAAGTGCTCTTTGGTCCACAGACCAGGAATAGACATTGAACAATCAGGAAACGAGGAGGACTAGTAAGTGATTGGAATTAGGTGACTCAGATGGTCAGGGAGCGACCTTAGCTTACAACCCTGGTCTAACATGACAAAGCAAAGCCAACGACAGTCACTGCATCACTGAACAGTTTTCATGCCACAACTGCACGATGAAAACAATCATGCTGCCGACAAGATTTTAGTCACTACAATCCTAACCAGAGAAGGGGAGATCAAAGGTGTAATGTTAAAGAAAAATAATGAATTAAACAAAATTTTTTGTTTTAATGTTAGAGTTGCAACTGCTTACCACAATCATTTTGATTCGAAATAACATCAATGTCAAAAAAAAAAAAAAAACTCAAATCAGGAACAAACTGAGGTGGAAACTGATCTGAGGGAAATAAATAAAAACAAACCTTCCTGACTGGATGTTACATCTACAGCGGTAGTACAGGAATCACATCAGCATTCGACAGAAACCAAAGCCCACAGTGACCGTCGTGGAGGCCGGCTCTGGAGAGAACGTTTACCACTAGAACGCTGGAGGAGATAGAGGGGAAAAAAACAAAACAAACACGGAGTGGCTTCCTATGCCGTCATCTCGGTGATGCTGAAGGGCGGCGGTGTCTGTTCACAGCTGATGAGGTTGTCGCCTTTGGGCTGCGTCTGGCTGGTGCCGCGTCTCTGGCTGCCGTCGGCCGACCCCACGCTGGAGGCCGAGTGTGTTCTGGAGCGGACGAGTCGCGTCATACCCACAGCGGGCACTAAAGGGCGGCAGAGAGGTGAAATGGAGACGACAGGTTAGAATGCAGCCTGCATTAGAATCGACAAGAGGCGAGTTTGAATCGTGGCCGATTCAAACCTGGGGATGATTCTGCGGCTGCACTCACACTGAGGAGTAAAATGAACATCAGTGTGACCGACGACATGCACTAACAAACACGTGCACTATAGAAATAATAGTCCAGGTCATTTGCATTTTCTTAAATGTTTAGAAGTAGGCAATTCTTGGACCATAGTAACTGATGTCATCTTGTTGATATCTCCATTCAGAGAACCTGACAATGTGGGGACCAACGTCTGCTCATTGAACTTAGAAATGACCTTCCTGTCTCCAGGTTCACATTAACAGGTTCTCGTATCTTAGATGGAATGTTAACAAGTTTTCAACCAGTCCAGCTACCTACTTCTAAAACACTAGAGTTGTTCTACAGGCAGCATTGCCCCTCCTTGCCCTCCGGCCCCTCAGGTGCTTCATCATTACTGACATGAGTTCTCAAACAGTAAGACAAAGGAATACCAAGGCAAAAAAAATATTCCCGATACCTGATTTGCTGATCGGATGTTAAAAGACAACATGAGAGACTGGAGGAGACAAGGACAAACGGAGGAGAAGAAAAGGAAGAAAGAAGAGGAGTAACATTTTAACAATACCACACACACACACACACACACACAGGCCGCACGCACGCACACACACACAAACACACAATGTGTTCCAAGAGTTTAAATCTGGACAACACCACACACTGGGACTTACACTTCAGGGTATCAGGGTGGTGCATGGACACACAGACACACAAAGAGACGTTTAAACAAGTAAAAAATAACAATACTGAAAACATCATTAGCTTTTTCATCTTCATCATCCGTCTCAACAGGCTAGAGTGGAATTCTCAGGCCAGAGCTACTCTCTGATTGATCACAATTATTCATGATTAATCAACATATTTTTATTTTCACAATTAAAATGTTTATTTCGACCTAGTTAAAAACAAAAAAAAGTCACTTTTTCTTAAACTTTTATATCCTATTTTTTCTGAACTGACAGAATCAGAATATTTAATTAAACAACCATGTGAAAAAAGAAAATCCTTAATAAACTGTAATACTGTAATGCAATACTGCAATGAGAGTATTAAGGAATGAATCTTTACTCACTGTAACCCATCCCCTGGACAAAATACTTGAAGGCTTCAGTGAGTTTTCCTGGCTGAAAAGGAATCATAAAAACAAATTTTATTGTACTGTTTATTGTTTTAAAATGATCATTTTAATCATATAATGTTGTTAAGTTAAGCACATCTTTCTATCTAGGGAAAAGGAAGCGGGGCCACTGTCGACAATAGTGCGAAAATCAATCAACGTGGCATTTTTTGCATTGGTGTTTCTGCCTATACAGCACATGGAGAACTGATTATTTCAAATGTATACTGTATTTTCTGTTTTGATCTCTCTCATTTACACAGATTTTTATTTTAACTTTTCGGGAACACCCCGATAAAGTGACTTAGCCTGATAAATAAAGCAAATCATTATACAAAGACCTCCAAGTTGCAGTGTGTGTGAGACCCACCTGCACCACCTGAGGAAGTCCTCCACAGTCTGCCATCTGACAAAGACAGAGACACCACAAACGAAGACATGTCAGATAGCACACCTCACCATTTTAAATTGATTTTTATTCACGTTTAATGCAAAAGCCCCGTCTCTTTTTGAAGAGTCAAAGATTAAGAAATAAAAAAAAAAATAATAAATATCCTACTAAAATATCTTAAATATTGGGAATTGGGCTGCATATATACAGTCGAGTTTCTACTTTGTTTATATTATTACTAAGTGTGTTTTCATCCAATAGATTTTCCATATGTTTAACCCCCATATAATTTCTCATCATAAAAAGTGTTATTGTTATCGTATGTAGTTGCTTACTAGGTATTTTAGTATTTCAGGTATTTCAGGTCGCATCAAAACTAATTTTAAGTGAAACCTCCTAAAAATTCCAGAATCTTAGGATACATTTAAATACATTTACAATTTAGTTTACAAAACTGAAAATAGTTTAACGTCTAAACAAAAAACATTTTAGTAAATGTTTTAATTCATTCTGGTCTTTTTTCCTCTACATGTGTCAAACTCAAGGCCAAGTCATTATGTGTTTAATTGACTTAAACACATAGTATAAAAGTAAAAAATATATAATATAGAATACAGTCAATGCTGCTGAGTTTCTTAACTTGACAATTTTTTTTATTACACAGAGCAATGTACAATATTTTTAATATTTTTTAAGTGACAATGCTCTACAATAACCATTTTTTTCCAAATTTCCTTGCTCCCTTTTTTTGTTACCTGTTATTTCTAATGCTTCTTAAACACTAAAAGTATTTTTTTTTCTTTATTATGATTCACTCTAATACAAACACTTCTGATTGTCAGAGTAAGACAAACAGAAATCTAAAACACGTTGTTGTGTAAAGTATGAAAGTACAGACACAGCCTCGTAACACTAACCTTCAACAGGGTGGTTTTGGTCGGGTTCAGTCTGGAGTTACACTCCACCTACAAAACAACACACGCATTTTGCGCTTAAACCGTCGTAGTCATTTTATTTAAATGCGAGAAGATAACGGTCAACGGTCGAAACTCTTACCACAGCATCAACAGCAGGTGATGTGTCTCCAACCACCAGCAGAGCAGGACATCTGTGACACAAATGTAAGATGGAGGTCAAACAGGTTTAGTAAAAGGTGTTTGATGGCTCTGAGGTCCAAATGAATAATTACTGAAGACAAACAAGTGAAAACTGCTATTCAAATAATTGGAAAATAATCTTTAAAATTAGGTTTTCTTAAATTAGGTTTTCAATAAGTAAATAACACAATGACATTACCAACACCTTGATGCTGTTGAAAGATCTCTCAATACCTGAGTGTGACGACAGTGTTTTCATTCAAACCAGGAACTGGACGCTCCATCTCTAACTCGGTGCGACTGAGGGGAGGAGAAAGAGTGATTTATACGTTAATGGAAATTAATTACTTAGAGTCAGAATCTGACATCTTAAAAAAAAAATCCTAATTTTTGATTTGCAGGTAACACTGATGCGAAAAATCTCTGAACCTTAAGTTTGTTATCACAATATGTTAACGGGAAAGTTGGGTCAACAGAAATGGGAGTGGGAATGCGAATTTATTGCTGATATATTAATATATTCCCAATTTAAATATTAGTCTTTTATAATCACTTTTCATATAATGCAAAAAAAATGTCAGTGATTTATTGTTAGTTCTAATCCACGTGATCAGCCACAGGGTGGCGTGGTTGTACCTGTCATAGCTGTTGTAGAACATGGCCAGATTTTCCTGAGGGATGTCCTGAGATACGTGGAGTCTGTAAGTCTGGATCAGCTCCTTATTCTCTGCCAACTCATCCTAAAAAGAAAAAAAGCAAGAAAAACAAGGCAGGCGTGAAGAGAGAGACAAGAGCTTAGATTGTACCAACAGTATGTGGTGCGTGTGTGTGTGTGTTTGAGTGACTCACTGTGCTGAAGTGATGTCCCATAATGATGTCCACCAGGTTGCTGGTCCATCCACTCAGCTGTCACAAACAAAGAAAACGCAACACTTCTGAGACATGTGGCTGAAAGTGTCTTAAAACTACAAGAGAACAGAACAGGAAGTTTTCATTGACAGACGACATGTTTATGTGCATTACCTTGGACGCGGCCCAGTCCATCCATCCTTTGGCGCAGGGGTCGACGTTGATCAGAACTAACCCTTCAACCAGACTGGGCTCATTCAGCTGAAAAGAGGAGACATAATTAAAAAAATTAAAAAATAAATGAGCTAAAATGTTATGATTTGTTACCATTATTTCTGCACTCTACTATATTCTATTAAGAACAATGACTACAAAAGCTATAAAAATAAGCAACTTACAGCCAGTCTTGTGAGGACGTTAGCTCCAGCTCCAACACCGATCCCTATAACACTCTTCACTCTAATTCACACAGATACACAACCAGGGTAAATTGACCAGGCGAACCTAAACACCTTACATGTACTTCCCTGTTCCTGTTCATGCAGTTAGCACTGCCATTCAAAAACCAGCTGGTAATCAGGGCTGGGTATTGCCGGTTACAGCAATTGTACAATCATCAATATATATTGCAATAAATTTATACATATACATCGCAGTGTATATGTTAGTTAGAAAATACTAGTGTAATATGTAATATGGGGGTCTATTGCACTTTCCCTCTTTCCCAAAGACTGGGTCGTGAGAGGTTTTTTTCTGGGGTCGTCTTGCATCATGGTTTCCCAGGAGTTTACGAAAAATGTCTATTAACTTGGGTCGCGAAGGTTCGTGACTTTTAAAATTATACGGGTTCCCCAGAAAAAAAAAAGTTTGGGAAACACTGATCTAATCCACTATGACATGGAGAACACCTCGTGTTATGAGTTCTACACCCAATCCCTCTCTTGCGGTGGTCTCTGGCGCCATCATGTGGACGCTTAATCATTGCAAGAGGATTTTGTGAGATAATCTGTTTAGATTAGACAGGTGGGGTGCTAGTCTATTACAGTAAAGATTAGTAGTTTAAAAGTATGAAGACACTTTACTGCAGCTGTGTGAGGACAGATGGTAGCATCTCAGCCAGTTCATCCATGGTGGGATACTGATATCTGAGAACACACACAAAGTTCGCAGGTTTAAGTAGAGGTGAAGGTATTAAAATATTAAAGTTTAGACATTATTAACTGCCATCGGTCAAGCGTCTGTTTTTTTTTTTTTTTTTACCCAGTCGGAAACACAGCAGCATTTTCCTGTTGTCCCGGAGCGTCGACGTGAACGACAGAGAAATGCTGCGTCACTTCCTGCATGTCCTCGTAGTTAAACAGGCTGTTGAAGCAGGACTTATCTGGAGACACACGTACATTGGACACAAACGGACAAACCCGCTGAGGATATAATAAAAGCACGTGTGTATTGTTCTTTATTTAGGGCACGTTTGTGCGTTTGTTTCCTTACGATTCAGCCCAATGTCATGGAAGGTGAGGACTGTGGGCCGGTTGCTCTTGGCAACTCCCCTCATGGTTACGTGCAGAACACCGTGGGCTGTTTCAACATCATGTTCCTGAGAGAAGAAGAAAAGAAGAGCTCGACCATGAGAGCAGACAAGAGAGAAACATGTACCTAACATAAACATCAGCACACAATATTCTCCCGGTTTAAGGAACAAATAATTATTTTAAAAATTACTTAAATGTCTTGTGTATTTTAATAACAGTAGTTGTTGATCCACTGCCTCAAAATAAAAATACAATTGAGATTTATATGTTGATGCTAAACATACCTGACAGTCAAAGTCCTGGTAATTTCTACCACCCTGAAATATAAAAAAAAAGGAAAGTTACAGTAGTTAGTTATAGTTGTAATCAATTTGATTTTATTTCAGAATGTGATCTTCATTACACAGCTTTGACTGTGATCAAAAACTTAAAGATATACAAGGTTTAACAGGTGATTACATTCCAAAACATTGACCAGACCAAAGCAGACCCAGTTTTTAAGATGATTCAGCTGTCACCACGTTTACTCATAGGTGATGTTTCCTGTTGTGCTTTGTTGTCCGTTTCCCACAAAACAGGATCCTTGTTTACAAAATTGACATGTTTAAATGAAAATTGCCCACCCACGGTTTGGTTGTGTCAGAAAGAGCATCCAGTGTAAAAACAACCTCCTGAATCACTGACTGTACAGACCACTGCACGGACAATCACTGAGACACTGAACAAATTGTTGAAATGTTTACCAATGTGAGAACTCACCTGACTAGTCAGCAGTGGTTTGATCTCAGTCAGCTGGACATCGTGAAGCTCCTCCATGACAGGAACGCTGTCTGCGTATGAAAAATACTTTATGGATAAGTAAAGCAATGACTTTAAAGGACTTAACTTTTTCTGTAACTTCACGTCATGTACAAATACAAAAACACAACGCAGAGTCTCCGGGTGTTGGGAGGCACGCCTTATAGTCCGAAAAATTCGGGAAGTAACAATATTTAATTAACAATTATTAGTTGGATTTTTATCAATAGACCTGTAAAAAAAACTAGCATTGGGACTTCCAGTAGAGCGGCGAAATAGATGGCAGCGTAGATAGAAGCTCCGGCTAGACTATCATAATTAATAGCCCCGAATGACGACAAACCAAATTACAAACTGACTCACACTAGGAATGAGAAGAGGCAGAAAACACAGCAAAGTGAGCCTAAACTCATAATGGAAACGAACTCGGATGCTGAAGATGGCGGAGGGACAAGAGCCGCAGAGCAGACGCCATCATTACATACATATTTAGCAAATATCACTAAAGAAATAGGCAAACTTAAAAAAGATATGAAACACGACCTCGTGGATTTCAACTCAACACTAACATCAGACAGGAATTTGCAAATTTCAAGGATTATGTTAATAAGAAACTACAAGCAATCAGTGACGAACTACAAGAACATAAGAAAAACTTTGACGATGCTCAGGCACGTATTGAAGATCTTGAGATGTTTAATATGGAAGGTAAGGAAGCCTTGTTGACAATGCTCAGAGAACAGAAGAAATTACAAGCAAAGGTAACTGACTTAGAGGGCAGGTCCTGTAAATATAAGGTGAGAATATTCGGGGTCTCGGAGGGCACGGAAGGGGACCAGGACCAGGCGAGATTCAGTAAATAATCAAAACACTCTATCAATAAACGGCAAACTTATAAACTGGTTCAAGCTGCAAAGATCCACCAGACAGGGCTGCTGTCTGTCACCAACACTTTTTGCGATCTTCTGCGAGCCCTTGGCTCGAGCATAAAATTCGGAGTTGGTTCGCTAATGACCCTAAATTTAAACACGGGACTATGGATAACTGGTTCCATCAATGGAGTAAAAATGGCATTACTGCAATAAGCACAATAACTGAGAGGGACAAAATTAAACATTTCTAAAGATTAAAAAGAGAATTTAGACTAGATGATTCGAACCACTTTAGATATCTGCAAGTACGGGATTACTTTGAAAATGATGTAAAACCAAAATAGAAAATACATGCTAAACTGTCCAGCGCAAAGACTAATATTTGGTAAAAAAATATTGATGGCGGCAACCAAGAAGGCTATCACTAGGAAATGGTGTAAAGAGGACTCTCCGCCCTCAAAGAACTGGTTGGACCCAATTGAAGAATTATTTGATATTTTGAAGACACTCATAGTGAGAATCCAGCTGGCCGACTTTGAAGTGAAATGATCATTTATAAAACCAATCACAATCACGGTTGAGATTTGAATACAAACAAATAAAACATCTTCACTACATCAAACCCAGCACAAACCTCAGACGACAACAACTACACCCTAAAGACACCACAGCATAAAGAAAGCAATGTTTACGAATTAGAGTATAGTGAGGACTGCTCTGAACTGCACATCGGTGCTTATCTACATGTCACGGCCAAAAGACACGTTTGTGACGTAGAAATGTAAACATTCTTGCTGGATAAGACAGATAGTTTGAAGAGCAGTGAAGAGAGACATTTATGTCAATCTAGAGAAACTAAGTAGAGGCAGCTTAAGACACCATATTTCAGCAACCTAAAATACTGTCCTGAGATCATTCCATAGAAAACTCTATCATCATGCAGCAAACAACATGAACAGACTTCAAGGGCAGCACAGCCAACCGTGTGACTCAACTAACCGTTCACGCCTTCACCCTGGTGATCACAACCTTCCTGCCATTGGGTTCAGTGTGTAGTCACCTTGTTTGTTTTGTTCTAATGATTCAATGTTTAGGTATTCAGCCATTTTAAGCATATACAGTAGATTTTTTTCCCAGCAGCCAGTTAATAAATGCTTCTTGGACGAGAGGGAAAACGTCTTCAAGAAATCAAGACAGTCCAGTTACTTTGTACCTAACTGCTTGGGAAAACTGACATTTTCCTGCTTGGTGTCCTCCCTGTGGTTTGGGTGGAGCCCACAAACACACAGCACGTCACCCTTTTCCACACAGAGCGGTGCCACCCAGACATCACTGCCTTCCAGTTCATTGCATATTTAGTGAAATCATAGCGAAAGGAGATGTTACCCAGTGTCACTACACTTAATAAAAAAAATGTAATGGGACAATCCCTGTAAGAATAACTGTATGATTTCCCTTTCATGTGATTTTAAATTGTGTACATCAATTTGTCTGTTTATCCACCACTGATTTCTTTTTCTTTTTTTTTCTTGCAAAACACCAGCAGTTCAGCTTCGACATCAACTCTAACTGGCCTCTTACATGACATGTGGCAGCGAGATCAAATGAAGATTACATTACATTTAGCATTAACATTTTCATCCAAAGCGACTTACAGTTTGAGGAACAATCAAGCAGTGCTGCTGATGATGATAATAATAGTTGGAGCTGCAGATGCTCAGTTGTTCTATGAGGAGCTGACATCCAAAGCCCCAGCCATCCACCCACCCACCCACACACACACACACACACACACACACATTAAAGACTTCTCTTTGTAGCTTTGAGAAGACAAGCTCTGACCCATGTAAGCTTAAACCTGTGTCAACACACACACACACTTGGGATATTATTGTCAGCAGTGACTTGGACCTAGAGTAACACTAGATTTGGTCAAAAGAACTGATGGAACTGAGAAAGGGTTAAAAATCACAGAGGATCCTCGAGGGTAACAAAAGCCAAACAGAGAAATCCACGAATAAACTGCTGCCTCTTAATTAATGAGTAGTGATGCTAATGTGAGCTCACTCTTAACAACGGTTGCTATGACTGAGCTCAGTCGAGTTCTACGTACACACATACGGGTCAAACACACCATCCACTTCAAACCGCGACATTGAGAACGTTCGTGCTTTCGTTTACTGTCGGAAACTTTTAGCAAAAAACCCTATAGCATCTTAGGTTAGCATTGTACATAAACGATATGCACACACACAAAAATAAACATGTTTGTTACACGGGGAAATGTCCCCAACACACACACACAGCACAGCACAGCTCACGCAACTGTAACACAACACCACTGCCGAATATACACTTTAGTTAGCTGAAGAAAATATATTGTAAACAAAGCTAACCCCGTTTTAAACACAGTTAACGATAGTTGGCCGTTACTTGGCTAGCCGTTTGCTAAGTCATTAGCTAACTCGCCGTCATATTTTCAGAGACTGAAGCAAACAGAACATTAGCAACTGTTAGCCACTTACCTTCAGAAGCAGCCGTTAGAAAGCGTAAAACTGACTTTGTCCACTACTTTAGTAAATATGGTGATGAGGGTATTTGTTCGTTTTATATTCCGTCGGCTGTTACAGGAGGTTAACAGAGGTTACTGTATGACCGCTGAGTTGGTCTCCACCAGGTTAGCAGTGGTAGAAACACGCTTACAATGACGTGAGGAGGCGTTGTCACGTCACGCATACGTCAACACGTAAATGTATATACCAATATTATATGAATATTAAGTAATTTTACTATTATCTTTTTTGTGAATAACTTAAACAGAACAGCACCAATGGCAATAAACAAATCAGCGCACTGAACGGGCACGGTTTCAACGATAAAAAAAACGGCTATTTTGAATGTAATTGACGTTACAGCCTTTTGACAAAGAACAATATTAGCGAAAACTACAGATGGTAACTTCTTTGCACATACAAAAACACATACAACTAATTTACTTTTCAGCTTTTCACCACATATAGTTAATTATACAGTTTTGAACTGTTTACATGTGAGACCTTAAAAGAAAAACAGATTTCAAACCTATAAATAGCTTATTTCAGTGTTTTCCAACCCTTTTTTGAGCCAAGGCACATGCTGTATATATCATTAGGGAAAAACCCTACGGCACACCACCAAAAAAAAAATCTCACAAAAAGTACACGTAATCTGAAATCAAACAATTTTCTAGTTAAAATCTAGTCTGTTAAGTTGAAGAAAATGCTGATATACTGGCAGGAATTGAAGAAAGACACTCACAAAGATCTACTTAAACAGCTCTGATTATCTAAGTATAAGTATCTAAGTATTCAATTGTCATTCATGTTTTAACAAGCAAAGAAAAATTATATAAAATAAATATATCTTTCAGCCCAATTAAGTGAAATTTTATATTATATAATAATATCTTCAAACAACGTGAATCAGAGGTTTAGAACTTTTTAAAAAAATCATCTTAAAAAAGACACATTTCAAACAGTTAGATTTTTATTCAGTGAAATATTTTTTTAACAAAATGTATATCTTAATATGAACCAAATGCAATCCTTAATCTAGTTGAAAAGATTAAAGGCTTTGTTTTTTTCTCTGAACCTCTCCTGCAGTTTTAACATCAAACTACACTGCGTTTAATAAAATAAATCTGAAACTTTACATTTAAATTCTTCCGTCTCACTAAAAAATAAAAATATTTACATTTGAACCTATTTGTTTTGCAGCACAGGACCCATCATTATGGGCTCGTAGGGTGTTGACGTAACGCTAAAAACAAATTGTGAAGAGCAACGAACTGAGCAATGAAGGATTAAAACTAACAAAATTTAAAAAGTCAAACTGACAAAACAAACACCAATATGAGAAAATGTTACTAAGCTGGTTAGTGTGAAAACAGATCTTCTGACCCATTGAACCATAATGAGAATACTGCAACAAATAGAAGATCACCAACACAACCCACATAAGCGAGGCAAGGAGGACTAGTCAAATTTTTGACTTCTGTCAAATATTCCTTAAAATTCCTTTAAAACAAATCAACATGAGATTTGCTGATGTGCATATATAGCCATTTAAGACACCAAAACATTTTTATCTGCAGAATGCCACGATTAAACAGAAATTTTGAATCGGATTAGAATTCAAATTCAATTCGGCCAAAAGCAGAGCCTCCCAACTTCACATCTCTTAAAATCCAATTAAACAGAACTTAACAGCGTGTGCTCTTTATGATACGAGACCCTTTGGACCTGGAGACTTCATTATACTTTCCTCTTGACGGGACTTTTACTAGATGGAAATACAGTCAGACATTGTAAGACAGACCGTATTCATTGGTGTGGTAGAAACGGAGACATGATTCACTGCAGTTTTTCTATTCATGCTTTTGTATGAACAGGTTTTGATAAAGCACACCTCAGGTCAAAAGAACATGTAACAAATACTGCTGGAAGTCCTTGAAAAAAAAAAAAAAAAAAAACCTCTCCCAAATGTTCCGCACATTCTCAAAGCAACAAACGCAACAGAAATATTGTGCAGCAATAAATCACACGAGTGTTGCTTTGATCTAGTGTGTCTGTGTGTGTGTTGTTAGATAATACGCAAGGGGGAGTGTGTTAGCCCATTTGGTTGCTACAAAATTATTAGTTCGCTTAGTAAATTCAGTCTAATCTTTATTTTTGTAAAAACGCAAAAACCTCAACGCTAAAAGAAATAAATCGCTAACGAAGCGCTCTTTAGCACAAAACTATTAAAGACACATTCGCTTTTTGTACCTTTATGAAACCTTTAAAGCAAAAGAAAAAAGAAAAAGATTCACACTCTCTTCGGCCCGCATAAGTTCACTCCACTCCACTCCTCAACCTCGTGTCCCTTCGCTCCAACTGTTGGACTGAAATTGATTCAAAGTTTAAGTGTTGATTCGAGACTCAGCGACAATAGGACAGGTGTCTGACAGTGCAAAGGTCACGCAGCAGCCGTCTGATTCGCTGTTTGAGCTCCGGGAGGCGCGACAAAGGATCAGGAGGCTCCAGTGCGCCTGTGTGGTCCGACCACGACTCCAGGACTAATGAAAGAGAGTAAGACTTATTTAATCATCTGAGGCGTCTTCACTTCCTACACAAAACTCCACAGAGACGTCTTATCTCCACAGCTGCCCGCTGTTTTTGTTTGCCACTAAAACAGAAGATCTAAGCAGAAGATTTAAAACACTAAGCTAGCAAAAGAGAGCACGTCATTTACTGCTTTTGGCAGTAGTTGATCAACAACTGCCGATGTAGAATCGGTGAATTTCTCTATGGACTTTGGTATGAGAAAGCTTTTGGTGTACATACTTGGTGCACAAATTAGCATGTGTGTGTGTGTGTATTACCGTCTAGCTCTTTCTCGATCACATCCATCCTGGTGCTGATCTGCTGGTGTAAAAACTCCACGTGTTCCAACAGGTTCAGCTGACACTCAGTCACAGGTGTGAGCGTTCCAGCGTGTGCGAGTTTCCTGAAGTCTGTGTGTGCGTGCACTCCTGACACAATGTTAACGCCGCTATGTTGTACGTCCGAGTCCGACGCCGCAGTTCTGTTGCCTGTAACGGTTGCTGCAGTCACCTGCTTGTCCTCATCCTTAATTCCCTGAGGCAAAACACAGACATCAAAGTTTTACCATTCAGAATTGAAAGGGAAAAAAAAACCTGACTTGGGTTAGACTTTTTTTTTAAATCCTCTGTGTATCTTCTTTTTCAATAAACGTGACTTGTCATTCAGTTCATTTTGTGAGTCAACAGTAAATACCATCTGCATGTCTAGTCAATCACGCTGACTAACCTTCTGCCCACCATCTTCCTTCCTCGCCTCTGATTTTTCCCATGATGCTTCGGGCTTCTGGTAGCAGTGCTCACTGCTGACATAGCTAACGGTGGGTTCTTCTGTCAATGTACAAGACGATAACCTCTGCCCCTCTTGCTGTTTCCACGGCAACCTCCACAGCATCAGATCAGGGTGAGAAGAGGAGCTGAAGAACACACATGAACCCATTCCAATTACAAAGGTGTGTGTGTGTGTGTGTGCATGTGACGTGAGTTGCGAGAGGTAAATGAACTCACTGTAAGAGACTAATCTTCAGCTGCAGTCCACTGAGGACCTGATTGAGACCATGCGTGTGAGCCATTAAACGTTTGGTGTGTGTGATCTTGGCGGAGTTGATCTCAGAGTAGTTTTCCCTTATGCACGACAGGCCAAACATGTGCCCGGAAATCAGCCAATCAGGCTCCGAGTGCAAGCGCTGGCTTCGCCTCCAACCTGAGGAAAGGAGACAAGATGTTCATCACTGAGAGGGAATTTAAACAGAGGTGCAGTAATGTGAAACAGAGCCCTGTCTGACCTGCTGCATGCCGGCAGTAATAACAGATGTAATGATGAGGAACGTTGTCTTCATATAAACCCATACAGGTGCCGTGCTGCCAACAAAGACAGGACTCGCACTGAGAACAAAGAGTAAAACAAGAGAAAGTCAGAGAGAGTCACTGATTATACTGGCTGGAAACACACGGACCGTAACTTTAATGTAGTTTAATTACTTCATTTTTTTGTTAATTCTCAACTATCTTTCAACAACATTTCAATTTTTAATAATTTTTAGTTGTCTTTTGATTATCATTTTGCTCACAGTCTTAAATAAATGACGCCTCAATAACGTTTATTTTTCCTCCCCATGATTTCATTTGTGGGTCTTACCTGGATCATGAAGTCGTTCTCTTCGTCGACTTCGCATACACACCTAACAACCTCGCACTCCTCTGTCTCCATAGCAACAGGCCAGGGGGGTGTGTCCTCACCACTCTCCGCTGTAAGTGTGGACCAATCACTGCCGTCGTCCGCTGAAACGTAGGTTTAGGAATTTCAGTTTTTTTAATTTTCACGTTTACAGAACAAAAAAAAAGAAAAAAAAAAAAAAGCTTTCATTCTGTGTGTTGAAACCTTGTGTGAACACATCGCTGTGCCCGGCTGTCAGCTTCAGTGTGAGGGCAGGTCGCTCTGACTTTTCATCATCACTGCTGCACAGTCCTGAGCAAAAGACAAGAGATGTGACATCACAGATGTTACGAGTCGATTTTCACAAGTTGTGTGACCGAAAGGCTGGACTTAAGTACTAATCAAAGAGGAGGAAAATACAGTAACGAGTCTATTTGGTTCTGGGTGTTATTAACTAATTGTAACATCTTTTACATGAGCCATTAAAGGGGTTGTTTTATGCAGAAATTAACTCAAGATTAGGGTGCACACATTTGCATCTCTGGAGTTTCTGCCTCTTCCGTCAGTGTAGGGTTTGACAACTAAGTCAATGCTGCCTCTTCCGTCAGTGTAGGGTTTGAGAACTAAGTTAATGTTTTTTTTAAACTGCCAAAATCTGGAAGTGTGTCTCAAAACAAGCCATTATGATTTTATCCAGACATGATGTACAGTAGAAAAGCATGTGGTTAAACAATCACACCCACAGTTTCCCATTAATTGCTCAGTCCGCCACCAGTCTCATTTAATCATAAATACAATAATAATAAAAATAAAATACTAGTAATGATAATAAACAGTTTCTCTCTCATTTCAGCCGTCAGCCCATCAACAGCTGTACTCAGTCTCAACATGTGCTACCAGTAGAACCTGTGCAATTTGCAACTCACAGCTGCTCATTTAACACATCGCTAAGCATAAGCAACAACATGCAAAAACCTGAGGCACTAGAAGTAGACATGTCATCTGTAACACACGTGGGAGACAGCCAGTGAGGTGGTACAACTTCTGCTAGTCTACATATCGTATTGTAACAGTCCTGACTGCATAAGCCTGCAAAAGCCTGAAACAAATAAAACGAGCATCAGCCTGAACAGAGCCATAGTCACTCGCTCGCTCACACACTCCATGTATCTCATTTGGCATTACACACGCACACCTACACACTCCATGTATCTCATTTGGCATTGCACACCTCAACAACAGAAGAACAACAGCATTTCAACTTTCTTCTGGTTCTGGACTGTGGCTCAAACGTATACATTTTTGACAGAAGTTTGTCGACTGGTGACCTCCCAGTTTGGCCAACCATACTCTATGGTCGGAGGTCTAAGAATTGCCCCTTGCGGACGACGTGGCTTATTACCATTTACAGGTAAAGTCACAGAAACCGGCCGTTTATAACAAGGCTGCAAAACAAGTGTGTAAAGAATCCATCTGCGCTCAAGTCTACAGTTTCTCCAACCAAAGCATGTTACTAAACTTTCATTTTGACATTAAGGAACCATATTAATTTGTGATATGGTGGCATAATATGTAGGGCTGTAATTTCACAGTCAATCTGGTCAATTTAAATGGTTGATACGTTTTGGCTTGACCAGAATGCTAATGCAGAAGTGCTAATGGACGGTTTTCAGAGCACACCTGTTTCAGAGGTAACTGTCTGTCTTCAAAACACATCCCTTGTTTAAACATTATTTTGGATTAGCCCAACCCACAGAAACAGATTGAAGTACTATGCTGAGATGGTTTGCTGAATATCCATCCATCCATCCATTTTCATCCGCTTATCCGTTACCGGGTCGCGGGGGCAGCAGTCACCACCCAAATCACACTGCACCGTACCAACCCCCCTGAACCTTCCTGTGGGTGGTGAGTCCACTGAAAGGCATCAACCGTCCTAACCGGGAGTCGAACTTGCCCAGGAGGTGAACCCTGGGGTTCCACACCAAAGACAGAGACATTGCCACTGGGCCAAAGCGCCATTGCTGAATATTGATTTCTTTTTTTTTTTTCATTTAATTAAGTTAGCAAGCAACAGTTTGCATATCACACCTCAAGCACAAACATGGCATACCACCTTAAATGTCAACAAAATAAACTAAAACTAGAACTGTGATTCTTACCTAACTGACTTTTCTTCTTCTTCTTTTTCTTCTTCTTCTTTTTCTTTAGTTTGACTCTCAAGAAGTTCTTTCTCTCCTTCCTGGTCTGTGTTGCAGGTCTGTCGCTGCTTCTTCCCTTCTTCAGCTCTGCTGACAGACACACACACACACACACACGCCGATAAACACACAGATAATGTCAAACCACTCTATCTTCTGGAAATCTGAATATATCCCAGTAGGAGCAGTAAGTGACATTTTGCAAAAAAGTCCCACGTCTGACCTGTTCCCACAGTGCTTTTCTCTGTGTCATTATGGTGACAGATGATATTGTGACTTTCAGTCTTCCTATCAGGCAAAAGGTCAACTCCCTCAGAAGACGAACGTTTCCTCCTGAAACGACACACAGAATTAGAGATAAACAAAAACACAGTGGAACCTCGAGATACGAGTCGAATCCGTTCCACAACAGCAACAGTCGTATCTCAGTCGAATGTTCCCTATTAACATATATAACTAAAATCCAATGAATTTGTTCCAGCCGCCATGAAATATACTATTAAATTAATTAAATTCCTCGCCATCTAAACATCCAAAACATAAATATAAACAATGTATTGATCATATGAAATAATAATAATTAAGAAAACATTTTAAATAATTGTTATAAAAATGGGTAAAATAACCAAGCGACAGACAGTGAGCGAGACAGCTCGATAGAGTGTCGGGCCACTAAACATAGAGAGAGAAAGAGAGAAAGAGAGAGAGAGAGAGAGAGAGAGAGAGAGAGAAAGGGAAAGAAAGAAATAAAGTGGCGGGTAAAATGACACGGCGAGGGACAATGAGTGCAACAGCGTTGAGTCGAAAAATGGAGATTGGTTGAGCACTCGAGTAATTCGATGTTTCCTCGAATGAAAATCTTGCAATAGTTGTAGTTGTAGTAGTCGACTCGTAATACGGAATACTCGTATTCGAGTAGTATCTCGAGCATCTTCAAAAAATTATTACATTTTGTGTGTGTGTATGTGTCCCTTGAATGTGTGAATGTGTGTGTCACCTACCTCACTGTGGATGCCACCTTCTCCTCTTCCCCTCCTCCTCCTCCTGCTCCTCCCTCCTCCATATGCTGGTCAGTGTGATAGTACTTGATATGGTAGTGGAGCAGACTGGCCTTCCTGAAGGACTTGACGCAGCCCTCAGCGGGACACTTGAAAGGGTTGTGGTCTAGTTCGATCGATAGGATGGGAGGGGGCTGGTTCTTTATCACTCTGTACACTGACGGGAACGGCAGGATGTCAGGGACGTACTGTGACCATCAGTCTCGTGCCACTGATTTAGCCAAACTTTAATATATTTTAAGGAAGCTCTATTTTTTTGGCAACTTGATCGTCTTGATCTTTCGGTTGCCGTATGGCAAATTTGTAAATCATTTTATTTGTGTGTGTGTGTGTGCACTCACGTGGCTCTCTGCTGAACTTGTGTGTGGTTGGAAGGTGAGCTTGTCGCTCCAAGAGGACATCTGAGTGACAGAGTATTGTGATGAGGTTCATGACACACTTTAGATGAAGACTTAACTGATCTTTTTTTTGTTTACCTTTATTGATGTGGGTGGGGCTGAAAGCAGCCAAGGCGAAGGGGTCTGGGGGCGTAACTGGAGAATTGTTTGAAGGACAGACTTTAGCTGGAAATAAAGCAGTTACCAAATGTCAATCTTAAAAACACTTATAACCAGGGCATTTACTTATGGAACACAAACATAGTAGAATGTTAATTTTTTTACGATAAAGATGGTGAGGAATCACAACAATGAGGTGTCAAATTTAAATTCAGAAGAATGTTAATTGCGTGTTGTTGTTGTTGTTGTTGTTGTCGTATTAATACATGAATTCATTACCCAGAGAATGATTTCACATGCAACGAAAATACCTTCCATTGCAAGTTTTTTTTCTCTTTGCCCACTAACACTGCATACTAGGGATGGGTTGGTTACAAACTAAAGCTCTCACTTTGAACAGAAGAGGGCTTCAGTTACCCACAGTGCATTGCGTGAAAGAGAGAAAAAAGTGAGATAAAATGGTGTTGAACACATCATGTGACTTACTCTCATCTGTTGTCCTTGTAGATGACGGACAGGCCTCTTCTTTCCCTGTTTCGTCTTCCTCCTTTATCCCTTCATCCTTTTTAGACGTTATCTGCTCCTCTCTTTCCTCCTCCTTTATCTCTTTCTCATCATTCTTTTCTTTGTCTTCTCCGTCTTCATCAGCCTCCTCCAGTTCCTCCTCATGCTCCTCCTCACTCTCTCCTTCCTCCCATCCCTCACTTCCCACCGCACTTTTCTCAGATTTACGTTTCTGTTTCCAAAAAAAAAAAAAAAAAAAGCAAACAGAACTTTGGTTACAATCAGAAATCTTTAAGGTTATTGGGACAATGCAATATCGAACTATGAAATTGGGGTGGATTTTCCTTACTAACCCTGTCATTCAGGTGAACAAATATTAAAAACAATAATGAAGAAATATGCGTATGCTATAAACAACAAAACAGCTAAATCTAAACTTAAAGCAGTCACATACATTTTATAGTATATAGCACTAGACCTCTAGCCAGTAGAAACGTGAGCCTCTGATGTTGAGACAATAGGAATGGATGACAAAAAACACAGACGTTGAAAGCATGAACATGGCTGATAATGAATGTTGGAAAAAATACATATATGAATGTAAGAAGATTACTGAAGACATTCTTGACAAAGCAAGATAAGATGAGTACTTCATACCTTCTGGATTGGTTTGACACCTGTGGGCTTCACAGTCCGAACAACACCGTCAAAGAATCTCACTGTGTATGAGTCTGAAAGCGAAAGGAGTGAAGACAGAAGTCACTCCTGGTTTGATGAAGGTTACGAAGCACCAACGAAACAAAAGTCAAAGCGTGTCTCACCATCTTTGTTGACTCTGAGTATTTTAGCTGGGTAAAAACGACAGTCTGTCCAACATGCCAGGACCCTGGTGCCTGAGACAAACCTCTAAGACAGAGACGAGGAGTCAAAAAACAAGCGGAATGACCACAAAGAAATAATGTTGCCTTGAATATAAAATCAAAACAGCTGAGGCTTTAAAACATTCGATCAATTCTATTGATAACTGGGGGCTGCATTGTAACTATTGTCTTGCTGATTTTTAGCTTTCTGCCTTCATAACTTAGGTTAAGGTTATTATTGCTTAAGGTTATTATTGCTATGTTTTTAACATATTTTGCATTTAATTTCTATTAGGAAATTTTAAATAATAGCTTGTTTTAGTGACTAGGCTTTTTACATATAACCTTTAGATAATTTTGTTTAGCAATCATGTACATGTTTCCTATATTTTCATAGCTACTGAAATGTTTATGAACCAATGGTACCGGTTGTGAGTGAGGTGGGTTTTGGCCCTGTCTCCGTAGACTGATGCGCTCGAGTGGTCGCAGGTAAGGTGAGTTCCAGTGGAACCACTCATTGTGTCGACGACTCCACCGACGAAAATGGATTAGGACCCGCTCTTTATCAAAGTCAATTTTCTCAATTGTAGCTGCATACCTGAAAGAGGGCAGACAATTCTCAATTATATTACAAAGTGGAGAACATCACACTGAGCGAAATGGGTGGAAAGGTTCATACCAGTTCTTCAGACGATCTCGAGCTTCCAGCTGTGCTCCCACCTCAAAGGTGATCCCTGCCCTGTCTGGAGGAGTCTTCATCTGCATACACACAGACAATGCAGTATGTATTCTGTAGTTTATGACTGTTATTATAATTCCTGTCACTAACCCATATTATATTGTGTTTACTATATATGACATAATTGACATTGTACACAACACGGTATGGCTGTTTAAAGTCTTAAACAATTCTCTTTTCTCACACTTGTATAGTTTTTTTTTTATTAAGTGTCATACATGTAGCTACACATTGTATTGCAACTCGCATTGTATTGCATTGGTATTACAATTGTTTGCTTTTCAACATTGTCAATGGACGCCTCTTCTGTCAGTTAAGAGAATAACAACAAACCAACCCCCGCCCCTTCAGGCCTACTAATGATACATGCTAATGCTAACTGTGTCAAACCACATAAATAAACATTCCAATTCCCGTTTAGTACTAACATAGTAGAAGTCCACTCAAGAAAAACGACTACTGACACTGAGCATTAAAAGTCTACATATTTTGACGGCACTGCTGTATTTCTTGTTACACTCAGAGACGAGTGAAAGCTGTTATGACTTACAGTACGTTAGCTGCTGTTTCTTTTCTCCATTCATTCCGATTAGAAAAGCTAACGCTAAGCTAACCATAGCCATGCCTCCTATTAATTCGCTAATCTTATAGACACCAACTTGGCTTGCATACGTTGTGTGTACACCTACTCAGAACACAGAGCTAACGTGGCTTGTGTTAGCAGTGGCTCCTATCTATTCACTTAGTACAGAGAAGCTAAGCGGCTAACGTTAGCTGTCTTCTCTCTATTCACTCAGAGCGGATACGTTGAAGTGGACAATCCTAGTCTCGGCTCAGCAGTTAGTGTTTACTTTTGAAGTTTGAACGTGTGATAATTGCACATACGAAAGGGAAGTGCGTATACGTTATTGTAAAGGTAAATATGGGACTAAAACCCGGTAAAATGTTTTATTTTACCTCTGCAGTAGCAGGAACAAAACGGTTCTCCCATCGTACTGACGTCGTCAAACCTGCGCATGCGCGAGCACACCAGCTGACAGTTTTAACATTATGGTTATAGACCACAAATCAGGATGAATGAAGTAAAGTAAAGTAAAGAAAAATGACCAAACATAAAACCAGAACAATAAAAAATTATAATGCTAAAGATAAATTAAAACAATTATGTGAAAATGTGTTCTTATTAGATTAAAGATTTATATTTACCTGTTTTCTAATAAACAGTAACCTACACACCCAGCACTAAAGATAATTACATTTTTAACAGAAATATACATTTAAATATGTGTAAATTAAAAACAAATCGAACTCATTAAACCAGCTTTGTTACTACAACTTTGATCCAGCTGAGTTTCTCAACCAAAGAACAATGTTACAAGTTTACAACAGTTGTACTTCTGCCCATAAATATTGCAATATTACTCTAACTCATGGTAAGTGCTAGATTATTGTAGAATCTTTATCTCAAAGTAAGAGACATTTTAGTTCAGTCACATCTAGAATCTTCTGGTTAACATAGCTGATACCTATTTATCTCAGCACACACATGTCCAAACTCCACCGTGGCATCGTTCCAAGACTTCATTAAAGGTAAACATTGCATCACTTGAGCAACAGACGAGATAGGCGATTATCTTCTCGTACACGCTTATCAAAGTCCTGCAGCCTCTGAGGAGCTTCTTCTCTGTGCCTGCAATAACAAAAATAAATATTAAAAAAAGTGAAATAAATTCACCCGTGATTTTTTCAAAATGGGAATTTACTGGGCTTGTCTTACATGTTGAGCCGTGTTTGGACCACATGGATCTTCAGGGTTTTGTCGCTGCAGAATTTGTGATACTCCTCCTCCTCCTGCGCACTTACTGTCAGCTGATTCTTCTGGTACCAATCCTGTTTTTGCTGCAGCTCCTTTTTCTCCTTTACGAAAACATGTCAATCATATTGTTAAAATGAAAGAGTCTGCGGCGAGGGATACAGACTATCACGGACTACAAACCTACACCACACACCTACGAGAGGTCAGCCTCAAAACTGTCTTTACTTCTTCGGCAATCTGAGAAAGGTCAGGGTCTCCCCCAACCCCCCATTATGTCCAAATTCTAGAGGCCATTTTGAGAGCCATAAAAATCTCCTCTGAGGTCTTCTAATAACTATACCTTTAACATCATTTGTCCAGTATATTAACACCTATCTCCAGTAGGTGATATGTGTTTGTTGATTAACAAGGTGCGTCCCTGCTCTGCCTTGACAGAGAGGGAACGGCAGGTTATCAAAGGGGATGCATTTTGCGAACAGGTTGGAGACCGTCCTCCCTAATCCTCCCTAAAATTACCTACTGACTATCTCTTATCAAAGGGGATGCATTTTGCGAACAAGTTGGAGACCGTCCTCCCTAATATCCCCTAAAATTACCTACTGATTATCTCTCCTTAACATACGTACTGTATGTCCAAACCATCTCAAACTCACCTCTCTAAAGTTATCTCCAAATCTGCTCCACCTTAACTGCCTAATCCTAATCCCGTCCATCCTGGTCACTCCCAGTGAAAATCTCAGCATCTTCATCTCTGTCACCTCCAAACTCAGCCTTTTATTCAGTCTATTAGACAGAGCCACTGTCTCGAAACCAAACATCATAGCAGGTCTCACTACTGACTTATAAAACTTCACCCCTGACACTGGTCTCCATCCGTTTCACTTCAAACTTCAAACCTCTCCTAGGTTTTCTACCACCTGCTCCCTACTCTCAGCACAGATGATAATGTCATCTGCAAACATCACGGTCCTTTGGGGCCCCCTGCCCTCACTTCTTTGTACTTGCCATAAATGTATTATTATTATCATAATTAATTCAAATTGTTGTGTGCCTTCCAGATGCTTTACCATATTTACTACCATCATTCGCCACATTAATCTGCAGTGTGCCTTAGGTTGCTGCACACTGTGTTTACCACCTTGTGTTGCTGTTTTTACTTTTGCTTGATGTTTAAAATTTTACATCATTTACATTTGTTGTTCTTCTTACACTTATAGCAAACCCAATTTAAATCCTCTGTATATTCTGTGCAAATGGCAGAATTTACATATGAACCGGATATTTGACTGTCCGGTTGGAAAATCTGTCTAACAGTGAGTAATTATTGTATTAATATGAATGTGCTGTACCTTTTCTAAACGCTCAAGGATCTGGGTTTCCTTCTCCGACAGTCTCTGCTTATATGAACTAATGCACTCCTGCCGGAGCCGCTTGGCTTCCTTGGCCCCCAGAGCCTTAGGGTTGTTGAGCCGGAACAGAACCGGAGCCAGGGTGTCTTCTTCCTTCCTCTGTAGCCAGCGCAGCTCCTCTGCGGCATGGTGCTCCTGCAGTCGCGGGGCAGAGTTCAGAGCAGGTTCGTTTGGAGTTCGGTCAGATAAAGCACAGATGTTGGTGTATTTTCTATGTCTTACCATTTCCTCTCTCTGTTTGCGAGCTCGGGCAGCTCCTGTAGTCACCCACGGTGAAAAGAAAAGATGAATGTCCTTCTCCTCTTCGGCTCTGGACAACACCATCTTCTTTACCTGTTAAAAATGTTGTCATAATGACAACCTGAAATTTTAAGATTTATATAGGGTTTTTTTCTTTAATACACATTTTAGCCATTGCAAAAAATAAATTAGGTTTTTTTCTTTAATACACATTTTAGCTAATGCAAAAAAAACACATTTTTAGAAATGATCTGTGTATCTGTTTTTCAGCTAGATGGTGCCATCTGAATACAGTCTGGGAAGTAAGCCGCAACCCAATAACCAGAGCATCATGTGACAGGTGTGATCAGTCTTCACCTCCTTCATTGACTCTTTTATCCGAATAAACAGTTGCTCCTCATCTGCAATCAGCGAAGCAATCTCCTGTTTAGACGGACTCCTGGGGCGCTGTCACACAGAAAACAGAAAAAGGAAACCAAAAACTAACTAAAACTTCATCAAAGGTAGGATAAAGTAACATTGTAACATTAGAAGTGGCGCTTTGGCCCAGAGGCAATGTCTCTGTCATTGGTGTGGAACCCCAGGGTTCACCTCCTGGGCAAGGTTGAATCCAGGTTAGGGCGGTTGGTACCTTCCAGTGGACTCACTACCCACAGGAAGGTTCAGGGGGGTTGGTACGGTGCAGTGTGATTTGGGTGGCGGTTAAGGAGACTGCTGCCCCCGTGACCCGGTAATGAATAAGCGGATGAAAATGGATGGATATATATTAGGGATTTCATGGATAAGCGGATGAAAATGGTTGGGTGGATGGATATATATCAGGGATGTCCGATATTAGCTTTTTGCCAATATCCAATATGCCGATATTGTCCAAACACATATTTCCGATTCCAATAAAAATTAAAATACTATTGAGTTGCTGGCACCAGCATTCTGCTTACAATCCCCTAATTAGTAAAATAGATTAAAAAAAGAGCTGCAATACTGCCATCTAGTGAGTAGAGGCTTGTTTATCATTCATGTGTTATGAAGAGATTAACAGTTAACAGGTATGGGAGGAGGAGTGAGGAGGCATAGTGGAAATGCATATGTGTGTGTGTGAGAGAGAATTTAATTACTACAACACAAATTTGGCTAAAATACCTTCAATTGGCTTAAAAAAATGTAATCCAAAGAAAAGGGAATGTGTACCTGTGGTTCAACCACCTTCCTCTGCCCTGCAGATTTGACGTAGACCATCTTTGACGGGATGATCCTGTTCCTCTGGAGGTGGAAGGTAACCTCCACACACCCTTCACTCGTGTTGAACACTCGCTCAGCCACGTCTTCATTGGCCAATTTGGACCTATTCCTGTTGAAACGCTCCACGACCTTTTTTGGTTTTGAACAAACATAAATGCAGTCACTGGAGACAAATCAGGAAATTTCACAAAATAATCACCGAGGCAGAAAATTATTAATAGAAATGACTTCTGAGGAGATATATATATATATATATATATTACAAGTCATGTAGCAAAATTCAATTTTTTAATTTTTATCATTGCAGGTACTGTTCAGTTGAACTTCCTGTTTGCCCTCCCGTCTCATTTGTAATATATGTGCTTATCCTATATCCCCGTTTACCCTCACTTAATGCATATCCTGATTTCCCGTTTACCTTCTGCAGGTAAATGTTGGGCTCAGCATTCTTGTTTTCAGAGAATTGTACATTTCGGCTGAAGACGGTGTGTCTGTAGCAAAGGAAGTCGCTTCGGTTCTGGAAGGTTTCTGTCATCTCTCCTGGTGACACCACCCTCTTTAGCATGTCATCCACTCGTGCTGATTCGCTGAACTCCATCTCATGGATCCCGTGAACAGCCAAGGCCTGATATCTGTGAACTTAAAACACACAAAACCTTAAATGTCAAATGTCATTCTTCACCAAAATAAACTAACTAGTCATAACTTTAGAACCAGCGAGAATTACGTTTGAGGTGAAAGCGCCGTCCGTGTTTGAAGACATCCGTAGTGAAACCGTCAACTTTGTCAATGGTCCTTTGCTCCAGGTGGTCCCGTCGATTCATGTACTGTTCAATCACCGTTGTGACATCAGTACCTTTAACACGCACACAGTTAAAAGGCAGAACCTTTTTACTCAACATCCACATGTTCACTTGTTCCTCACTTACATTTGGTATCGCTGTATTTGATGAGTCTAGTGACAAGTCCGTCTGTCCTTAGAAACTGAGCGTATCTCTGCAGCTTGGACTTCCTGTAATTAACGACCTTGTGTCCCCTGGGAAAACGTGTTTCCAGATCTGAAAGAGAAAAGATGCAGCAGAGAACCCACGGTCAAGATAGGAGGAAATGGATGCAGCTATACAGTTTACCACCAGAGGGCGCCTGTGAACGTTTAAAAAAACTATATAGTTCATGACAGTTGATTTCTGTTAGTTAATTTTTGGTAGTCTTAAAACTAAAAAAACAGAAAGTGAGGCCAGACGACTTTCATAAGGCCGGGTAATAACCAATCACTGGTAGTGATCAGTTACCGCAGCTGTTCAGCTGGGACACAGACAACAATCTCTGCTCTCTGCACAAAGCAGGTGTCGGTGATGACATCACTGCTGTAAACTGAATCAAGATCTGACCAAGATTCACTGAGACAGAAGCAAAAGAAGAGCAAAAATGATTATCCACCACAACTCAGGTGAGAGTCAGGTGAGCTTAGCACCGAGTGGTTCATTAGCACCAAGAGGTAAAGGTACAGAAACCACAGCAGGATACTAACTTTTTTTTCTAGACACAGAGGAACCATAATTTGATTAAACGTAACATTGTAGATCTCCTTTTCTACCGATCGCTACCAAAACAGGGGCTCCGTTCCTGTCCTAGCTAGCAACTGGTGGTCTCCATTCAAGAGTTCATCTATGTAGCTTTATTGTTAATCCTCCTCTTTTAAGTTATTTTGGATAAAAGCGTCTGCTAAATGCGCACAGTGGGGCCTTGAGATACGAGTTTAATCCGTTTAATAAACAGCACTCGTATCTCGATTCCATTTTCCCCATTAAAAATAACTAAAACCAATTCATTCATTCCAGACCCCTAGAAATACACTATTAATTATTATTATTATTATTATTAATTAAATTAACCCCCATCTAAACATCAAAAACATAGGTATAAAGAAACATACTGATAATATAATATAATAACAATGATAGATATAAAGAAATATATTGATAATACAATATAATAACAATTAAGAAAACATTTCATTGTTATTGATATAAAATGGGTAAAATAACCCAGCGAGCTCAGTTGAACACTTCTAACCCGATGTTTCCTCGTAACACAAAGAAAATCTAGCAAAGGTTGCTTACTCGTAACTTGGAAAATTACGTATTTCGGGAAGCTCATATCTCCAGGCCCCACTGTAAATGCAAATGAAATTGTCCTAATGGTCCAACCTAGGAGCATTTGAGAGTCAAGACAAACAAAAGGTGCCCAGCTGAAAACAACAAAATGGCTTCCGACCCAGGAAGCCATTTTCAATTGCAACTGGAACTCCTTAGCACGGCCCATGGCCATCACCCCCACCGCTGCATCAGCATCCCTTCAGCTTCCCAGCATACCTGATTTTAAGATGGTGATGATGCTGATCCAGGACTTTGGCATGATGAATGGCAGAGGCTCGTTCTCTTCCTCTTCCACCTCCGCCTCTATCTCTTCCTCCTTCAAATCCAACAACAGCTTAGTCAGAAGTTTCATTTATGGGCCACCCTGACTCTTTGTAGTGATGCTATGTTGCTTTTCTATACACTGGCTTTAGGATGTAAAACGTCCGTGTAACTACTCCGCGTTCCAGACTACAATTCCCAACTTTTCTATTGACTTTTTAGAAGTAAAGAAAGGTGTTTTTTTTAATGAACACACACCTCCATGTAATTGTAGTAAGGACTATCATCATCCTTCTCCGTGCTGGACATCAGCTGTACTTTGCTGATCGCTCCATGGACAACCGGCTCCCACAGATTTATGTCCTCCAAGTCATACACCATGTCCTACACACACAAACACATACACGGTAAAAGCAGAGTTACTTTTTTTTTGCCTCGATTTTCACTCTGACTGAGATCCTAACTGTAACTCCAGGCACTAGCAGTCTGAGTATAGCAGCCAACATCGTGTTCACAGTAACTCAAACTCTGTAACGGAGGTAGAGGTTGGACGACAATGGACTTACACTGCAACCCTGCCCGCAGTCCTGCATGTTGATGTAGCAGTTGTAGTTGTTCCACACACTTTCAATACCCAAGAAGCTGGGCGAGTTGGTTCTATAGCTCATCCCGGTCAGAGGGTCGATGAAAAAGTTCTGCTTGACCCCACGATATCCCGCTAACACCAGAACCCAGCAGTGAATCCGCAGAAGGTCCTCGGGTTCCTGCGTGCCACGCTGCTCAAGTAGAAAGAGGAATTGGAAGGAAGGGGGAAAAAAAATAGAACAAAAAATAGTCTATATGTTATCAGGTATCAGAGATGCTGGTCAAGTGATGCCTCCTGTGGGCAGTTTGTGTCACTGCAATAAATCTGAGTGATTGATAAAAAATACATTTTTAAAGAAAATAAAATTCATTAAAAAAATCTATTATACATTTTTAAAGAAAATAAAATTCATAAAAAAAAATCTATTAAATATCACATTTGCTCTTCAATGTGTGCAATAGATGCAATACATTTCTAGAGTCGACGAGGAATCGAGATTTTAGTAACGACCAAAATAGTTCATATACAAATTTTAAACTAAACAAATTTTCTCACTTTCTGGTTCCCAAAATGTTCTACCCCACCATTAATTTAAGTTGCGATAATACTTTAGGACTCTCTTCTGGCTCACTGTCTTCACTTCACAGGTTCCTGTAACTTCAGAACTACAGGACCTTCAGAGCCAGGCCTGACACCGCCGTCACTGCTAACGTTGTTGTTATTTCTCACTAATAAAGTCCAGACCTTAGCCCTAACGACGCAAAGCTGTAAATATATTACACTTCTTGTGTCAGTACCTCCTCAGCTTGCTGATTGTAATGTAACAGCTCTTCCTCTCCCATTTCCTCCTCTGCCTCCTTCTGCTCTTCTTCTTCCTCTGTCGTCTTCTCCTGCTGCTCCACAAACTGGCTCTCCTGCTGCCGTGGAGGTTTCACTGTGTATTTGCTTTGCGGGGCCTCTTCTTCTATCTGCAAACTCTGCTCATGAAAACAGATACATAGTTAGCTTTGGCAAAACATTTGTGTAAAATACATTTTGTTGTCCATATTTCACCAAAATAAACAAACTAAAAAATGCTGTTAAACGTGGTTACCTGCAACTTGGTGTACACCAGAGGGCAGTCTTTTAGGCTCTGGTCCAGCAGACACATCTGTCTTACAGCATAGCCGCTGACGCAGTACGCATCATAGTCAGAGCCCAGTAGCAAACAGCAGAGCACGGTGGGATATTCAAAACACGACGCTTTCTGAGTTTTTAACACAAAGGAGGGAGAGCGCAGTCGGGGAGGCTGTGACCAGAAAACAAAACATATAAAAATAAGTACAGCAAAATAAAGGCAACTTTGACAACACACTACCAAATGTTTATGACACTTGTTTATGACAAAACGTCTTTAGAAACCAGGCGTGTGTGTGTGCGTTCCAGACCAGGATGTGGGGTGGATCCAGAGGCTCCAGATTTATAAAATCTGCCACAAATGCAGCACAGCCCTCCCACATGTGGAGTTCGGGATGGTTTGTTGGTGCAGGTCGCAAAGTGGTGGACACAAACTTCTGTGTGTTGGACAAATAGATAGTGTTATAGCACACACACACAGATAATGATAGAAGTGAGAAGTGTGAGAAAGCATCACCTTGACACCACATTCGTTGACCGGGCAGAGCATCAGGGGTTTACGTTCAGGATACAGGTGAGAGTACTGACGACTGAAGTTGTCCACCATGGCCAACAGTTGCAACTCGTGAGTAGAGTTGGAATTATAAGAGGTTTCCCCCATGTTAAGGTTGAAGCTGAAAACAAGACAAGATCTGATGTTTGACCAATTACAGATTGAGCAACCTCAATATATAGCAAAACAGGTTTTTTATATATATATAAGTCCCACTTAGATACATGATCAATAGACATAAGGTACTATTTGAGCAACCTCAATATATAGCAAAACAAAGTACTACTCAAATATTCAAAAATGAAAATTACAAAACAAAGTAATCTATTACTCTATTAAGTGAGTGAAGAATACAACAATTTGTAGAAATAGCCAAACATTTACAAAAAATATAGATGTTAGCAAAGCTAGTGAGTAACGAGAAATGTTCCTTTTTGTGCGTGGGAATGCAGATTCTTAAATATTGCAGAGCGAAGACAAAAAAATCTGTTAAAAAAATAATATTTGATCTGATATTTCCCTTTTTATCAATGTGTCTGAGTGTGTGTATACATGTTTACTCACCGTCAATATTATAACGATATGATGATAAGTAAGCAAATGACTAATAATTGTAATTCAATGTTTTGCATTAATGCCTCAATCCCTCATTACCTCATATATATTTTAACATATAAGTCGCCATTATAAAACGCAACAAAAGTTTTCAAAACTATCAAAGATAAAAGGATTTGTCCTTTTATCTTGTAGTTTATTCTAGTTCCGAAAACTCTTTGGCCTTCACTTTCCACGATAGTTGCATCCATGGCAACAGCAACAACAGAGAAATGTGTTGCCTTCACTGACACTTAAACCGGCTCGTAAAATTGAATTATTGAAGTAATATCTTCGAATGTACGACAACAATGTGAAAATTAATACAAAATCCTGCATCCTGAAAATAGGACTAACCTTTTGTTTTTGTGCTGTTTTTCGTGACTTACATTGCACAGGGATAGCAAGGTTACCTGCAGGGCTAGCAGATGGTGGGATATAATTGAGGTTTAAGACGAGAAGACGAGAACCTTAATTTAAATACTGAATTAACTTTTACGTTTTTTTTTTTTAATAAGGCTGGCTGCGGTTTTCCAATATTTAAATACAGAAAAAAAAACGGTGAAAAAAGTACAAAATATCTAACGAAATTTTCCCAGGAACAGTGCTCCATTAGGCTGTTTGCTTATTTTATACTCTAAGGTATAGTCCATATAGTTATTCGAATTAAGCAAAACAAGTAAATCGCATAATTGTGCTTGTAAAAATGTGAACACGTATTGATAAAAAGACATAGTTTAAAAATATTAAACCACATTTCGTTATTATTAAAAATGTTTCCATACCAAGAAATGGGCAGCATAAATGAAGAAATAAATAAAAAACACATTAAATAAAGACGTTTTAAAGTATTGTTGTAGTTATTGACGTTAATGAAACATTCCCTCGTCACCTTTACGGTCAGCGCATGCGTCCTTTGTCTTTTTCCGGTTTCGCTCTTGTACTTCCTGTTTTCCCACAGTGGCAGCGCGTCTGTCAAGTCTTTCTTAAGTTTTACATTTTTACGTTTTCTCTTACCCTCAGCCTTTCTCTGTGTTTTATTCCTGTTCTTTCTTTGAGTGTGTGCTCGGCTCTGTTTTTCCCCCTCTGCTGTTTGTCTAATGCGCGTTCACGTCATTGTGCCTCCGCTCCTACTGTGGATTTTAAACAATGCTGCTGCTCAGCACTTCGCCGAGGAACAGATGGCTGCTGTCAGGTGAATATTTAATTGTGGATTTTTTATACTGAATAAAAAGAACGTAAACACCTTTTAGTCTTGCTAGTTTTTACTAGGTCTTAGCATAAAAATATAGACATTTAAAACACATTTATGCCAAGAATTGCGACACCATGCTTTTACAAATATTAGCAAAATTCAAACCAATTATTTGAAAAGTCCCTATTATTCAACACTAAATGTTTGTTATATAAGTTACGTTACTTTTAGCTAAAGGATAATTCAAATGAATACATCATTACTTGGTCTAAACTTTTATACGTGTTATTACTGCTCACTGGACGTTTTATAACATCTGCGTAGTGACACAAACGATTGTCTTGAAAATTTGGTGCTGACTTTTTCAGACAGCGCATCAAATCCATGTTCTACCACGCCTACGACAGTTACCTGAACAATGCCTTCCCCTATGACGAGCTCCGCCCCCTTACCTGTGATGGACAGGACACCTGGGGCAGGTAAAGTTTGCACTTAGTTTCATTTCCAAAATATTTTGTTATTTGCTTAAAAAAGAAAAGAAAATCTACTTATGTCTTTTTTTTTTAATTCACAGTTTCTCTCTCACTCTGATCGATGCACTTGACACATTACTGGTAAATATTAAAAGCCTCCTTAAAATCTTTGCAGGCAAGACACAAAGAACAAAAAAAAATTAATATATTTTTTTTAAATTTAATTAACTTACATTACCCTATTGCACGTTCATTTTCCAAAGGTTCTCGGAAATCGTACGGAATTTCAGAGAGTGGCCACACTCCTTCAGGAATCTGTGGACTTCGACATTGATGTCAACGCATCTGTGTTTGAGACCAACATCAGAGGTAAGGAAAAAGAACGGAGTCTGAGGTGTATAACATATAGTCAAAATATGGCAAAAATAGCTGAGACCGAGAGTAAACAAACACCCAAAGACTAAACAAGACCTAGATTGTCACATTCCGGTTAAATTGCTACGAAAAATATCCAAAGTGTTCCTAGGACATGTCTCACAGGAAAAAACCCAAATGTGTAGCACTTCGTTTTACTGTGTGTATGTGCATACTTGCTTGTGCAGTGGTGGGCGGTCTACTCTCAGCTCACATGTTGTCAGGCAAAGCCGGAATGGAGCTGGAACCAAACTGGCCATGTTCGGGACCTCTGCTGAGGATGGCTGAGGACTCGGCCAGAAAACTACTGCCTGGTAAGTTTCATCGCACAGATAGAACCGCACACATGCTGCGGTGAGATCAGATCACATGTCCAACTGTCCTCTAGCGTTTCAGACTCCCACCGGAATGCCGTATGGGACAGTGAACCGGGTCAGTCCGACAGAGACACCCGTCACCTGCACTGCCGGCGTGGGAACCTTCATCCTGGAGTTTGCGACACTCAGTCGTCTGACGGGGGACACTGTGTTTGAGGAAGTAGCCCGCAAAGCATTGAGGTCACTGTGGAAGACCAGATCTGACATTGGACTGGTAACGCAAAAATAACTTTTAAGGGGGGGGCATGTTGTTAAAATTGACTTTCTCAAGGTTTGGAGACACATTTTAGCGTCTCTGCAATGTCTGCTTACTGAAGTGCAGTTTGTAAAATTAGGAAAAAATGTTTTTTAATCTGCTAAAATATAGAGGAAATACGATCAGAGGAAAAGCACTCTATTACGATTTTTCCACTTGCTGAAAGGCAGATTTTTTAAAATGTTACTTAACAAAAATATTTAACTAATTAAAATAAAAAAAAACATTATAATATCATGTAAAAAATATTAGCAATTACTATACTAACATTTATTCAGAGAGTTAAAATTAGGGATGGGCCTTATTGAGTTAACGGATAAATTACGAAATGCTGACAATTATCGCACATAAACACAGGTATTTTTCCATTTTGTTTTTTTGAAAGTTCAACAGTGTTTTGAACTGTGCCTTGAGGTATAACAACAAACGGCTAGTAGCTATTCCCGGACAACATGCTTGTCCATCGGTGTGCGATTTGCAGAACACACGTCTCTCTTTTACATGGACCGATGTGGAGTTTTGTTTTGTTTATTTCACTCTAAAAATATTTATCTAAAGAACTTTTTTTCAATAATATGTGGATATATCACGAATCGTCGGCTTTTCCAGGTTGGAAACCACATTGACATCGTGACCCAGAAGTGGGTTGCTCAGGACGCTGGGATAGGAGCAGGCGTGGACTCCTACTTTGAATATCTAGTGAAAGGCGCCATCATGCTGCAGGATGAAGAACTGCTGCAAATGTTCTTGGGTATTTACTAAATGTTACTCATTAGCTGCACTTCAGACAAAGTCTGAAATGTCCCACTTGTGTCAGCGTGTTGTCTCTGTAATCTTCAGAGTACGACAGGGCCATTCAGAACTACACCCACTTCGACGACTGGTATTTGTGGGTCCAGATGCACAAAGGAACTGTCACCATGCCGGTGTTCCAGTCTTTGGAGGCATTCTGGCCCGGTTTGCAGGTACCACATCAGCCCATGTGACCCACATTTATGGTTATACAGTATTACATCGTTATTTCAAATGTCATATATGTAGGTGCTGAAATCTACATATCTTGATTTTAAAAAAAAAATCCTACCTGCTGTTGCATTACAGTCGCTATTGGGTAACCTGGACAGTGCTGTCAGAACTTTCCAGAACTATTACTCAGTTTGGAGACAGTTTGGAGGTCTGCCCGAGTTCTACAGTATTCCTCAGGGTACAACTGTGGACAAGAGAGAGGGATACCCATTGAGACCTGGTGAGTCCTTCAGCCAATCAGACAAGCTGAAACAAAATGACCTTGTTTTGTTTGAGGTGAGTCCTTCAGCCAATCAGACAAGCCGAAACAAAATGACCTTAGGTTTTGTACATTGTACATTCTAAACATAATGCAGTTATTGTTCAAGTTGAGTTTTTCTTTAACAGAAAAAAATGTCAGAGACGTTAAATGTTAATTATAAAAAGAGATCAGAGATCAACCTGAAAAACAAATTGTTGAAGGATCTGTATTGTTTCCCTTTTCAGAGCTAATTGAAAGTGCCATGTACCTGTTTCGAGCGACAGGTGACCACACCTACCTCCAACTGGGCCTCGATGCTCTGGAGTCCATTGAGAAAATAGCCAAGACGCCATGTGGATACGCAAGTGTGAGTCAGTCTGGAAATGAACACTGTCAAAGAAAGACATGAAATGGTTAACCTTAAATTTTTCACTGCAAATGATTAAAAAAAAAAAAAAAAACGCCAGAGCTTATTTAAACATCTTTACATGCTGTAGTGCAATTTTTTTCTTTTAATTTGGCATGTATCTAGGGTTGGTAAATATCGGAATCGCTAAAAAGTGCAATAACACACATATCAGTTTTTTACATGGTAGGAAAATAATTGACTTGTACGTTCAGCTATGGAGTATGATATTATACTGATACTTATTTTTATTGTTTATGTCTAGAATAAAAACATAAAATACAAGCAATACAAGCAAGTCGTCAAGTCAATTCACAAGTAGCGATGTCCAATATTTTTTTTGCCGATATCGTCCAAAGACTTAAATTCTGATTCCGATATCAACCGATACAGTGGGGCAGTGGCGGCGATGGTTAAAGAAGTTAAGTGCCGTCTGCTCACTAAGGTGATGGGTAAAGCATTCTGCATACAATCTGCAATGCTGCCATCTAGTGACTTTCACTTTCATAGACATCAGTTTTCCCCCAAAACTATTTTTAGGGTACACACATCTTTTGGCGAAACCCAGGCATTATGTTATCGGGTTTTCATTATCGGAGGAAAAGCCAGTAACGATTCTTACAGATATTATACAATTACGCTAATATCAGGCTGATAATATTGGTCGGCCGATATTATCGGAAATCCCTAGTCACGAGTCATCAAAACAGCAACTCCAGTCGACACTAGTCTCAATGACTCGAGTCTCCATATCTGCGCCAAGAAAGAAGGTTAGGGAAATTACTAAGAGTTTGCCCAGACATGTCCAGACACGTTAGCAAAAATGACATTAGCCCAGATATAACTAATGGTTAGGTCAAACTAATCTAAAAGCAACAAAGCAAATTGCTTAACAAATATATAGGCCAAAAGTCACTCCATAAATATCTAGGAATAACAAAACGATTCTACAATCTGTTCTTGTCAGGTCAAAGATCTGCGGGACCATCAGCTGGACAACAGGATGGAGTCCTTCTTCCTGGCAGAAACCATAAAGTACCTTTACCTGCTCTTTGATCCCACCCACTTCCTGCACGGCCATGATTCCGATGGAAACGTGTCCTGGGAGGAGGGCGGTGAAGGTGGTCAGTGTGTTCTGGGTGCCGGCGGTTACATCTTCAACACGGAGGCTCATCCTCTGGACCCAGCTGCTCTTTACTGCTGCAGCCGACACACTCAGGACCGACGTGAGCTCCGTGACATCCTGCTCGACCTGTCGCAAGATGGACGTCCATCCAAGTCTGCAAACAGAGACACTGAGACACAGCCCACAGGCCGATCAGGAAGAATGGGTTCGAAAGCTGGCGAGAAGAAGAGGGTTCTGCTCTCGTGTCCCGTTCAGCCGTTCAGTGCTCGACTTGCCATCCTGGGACAGGTGTTCAGTGATAACACGTGATGATATCTCTGCCAATCACACCGGGGGGTTTAAAGGCTTATGACTCAAGTCACAGCTGAGCAGGGTTTCAGACTCAATTAAAGTGCTGTTAAATTATTTCTATTTATTAAAAAGGCCACAGTGGCCACACCTAGGTTTTGTGGCAGCGTCAGCAGTCTTGTGCTGAATATATGCGGTATAGAAATGGCACGTTGTCTCTGTTTATGACCAGCACTGTGATTGGTCGACATGTCTTGAACCATAGTCTCGAGAAGAAACGGTAGTCTTAATTGATTAATCCTCGGATTACTTACATTTTCTAGTTCAGTTATTAGAACGTTGGTCACAAAAATATAATTCCCACAAAGGAAATGTTACTTGTGCTCAAGGACTGTGATAAAATCATCCCACAAAGGAAATGTTACTTGTGCTCATGGACTGTGATAAAATCTACTTCACTGTAGAAAACCAGTCATCCAGCAGGGGGAGGTGTAAAGCCGCACCTCATACATTTGGTTTTGCAGCAACTGGTGAACTGAGCAGTCCGTTGTGACACTGGTGGTTGCACAGATTTTTGGGGGTCACATTTAAATGATGAGGATTCTTCCCATTCTTTTATGTTTATATTGGTAAGAAAACAAACAAATAAAATGAAGTTATGATTCGTTATTGTCTGCTTTATTAAAGATGTCATGGAAACTACAGTAAAAAAATGTTCGGAAAAGTAATGATTTGTACGACGAAGTGGGTTTTTGTGGTTTTCATCTTTAGGAATTGCAACATTATGGGAGCAATGTGTGAAATAACCCGAAGGAGACAAACAAGAATTATTTATGTTCATTTACCACAATAAACTTTTCTTCTCGAAAATATTCAATTGTTGTTGGTTTTTTTTTTTACTTTAAAAAGATAAAAAAAATGCTACAAACCACCAAGATCACTTAACATAAACAAACAACTATGGACCACAACAGACCCGAGCAGGATTAAACTGATTGGAACAACCAACCAATGGTCAACGTGCCCCTCCACAGCTGACCACTTCAGAACATAACAGAGTATTTTACACTACAACAAAGACCAAAACAGAAGAAAGCTGATCAGATAAAAAAGGAAAAAAATTCTACACGGTTCTCTTATATAGCAGTCTTTATGCCTGCTCATTTACCCACTTTCCTTACATGCAGAAGGTCCTGGTTTTCAGCACGTGTCAAACTCAAGGCCTGGGGGCCAAATGTGGCCCACCAAGTCATTTTGTATGGTCCACGGCAGCTTAAAAAGCATTTAATAAAGTCCATGTAGCAGAGTTTCTTAACCTGATAAATCAATTTTTTTTATCACACAGCAATGAACAATATTTGTAACTTGAATAAATAATAATAAATCGCAGAAACATTTATAAATATGTTACGGAACTAACGGTTCTGTATTGCTGATGTGGCCCCCCCCCCACGGTGATAATGAGTTTGACACCCCTGACCTAGAGGTACCACATACTCAATAGCGCCCCCTGTTGCAGCAAAAACTCACTCTGTGAATTTAACAAATACGGAACTTCAATTCTGACAAGAGCAATCTGCTAAAGCAATAATTCCTACTAGTGTGTCGTGGAAAATTATCCAATTTCACCTAATTGGTCATAAAACTATTATTTATTTATTGCAAATTATTTTTCTCTGTTCATCAATGCGTGACAGGCAGAGCAATTAAATCCTCTTCTGCTAGGTGGCAGCAGATGGTTATTAAAACTAAAAAAAAAAAAAGATAATCAGAAATGCAAAGAAGAAGATCTTTCTGAGTGTCTTTCTTCAATTCCTGCCAGTATATCAGAGTTATCTTCAACTAAACAGGGGTACATTTTTAGGTACATTTAAACTGGAAGTTTATTGTATTTCATTACATTTTCTTTTTGTCAGACTTTCGTTTGGTGGTTTGCTCGGGGGTTTTCCTGACGATACAGATGTGCCGTGGCTCAGAAAAGGTTGGGGAACACTGTGCTAAAGAACAACAAAGACCGAGCCAAAACAGATTGCGATCGACCACATCAGACCACTTGAAAGGCAAGCATTAACCAAAGTAATAGAGCAGCAATTTCCAAACACTGTGCCATGGCACATTATGGTGCTGTGGGAGTTTATGAGGTTAGAGTGAAATTTAAATTCCGCTGTCTTGGTCTGAGAACTATTATTTATTTACCTCAAATAACATGTCCGTCTGTGTAACAGAGACAAGCAAGTAAATTAAATACTCTGCAACAAAGTTGCAGCAAATGGCTAAAAGAAACTTGCAAGAGGAGAGACTCTTTTTTCTGTTTCTTCAATTGCAGTGAGAATATCAGTGTTGTGTTCAACTAAACAGGCACGGGTAAGTAATTCAACTGCGAGTGCATTTAAAACCAGAGAATCATTATTTTTCACAACATATACATTTTTGACATTTTGGTGGCGTGAGATTTGTGTGCATTTTCTACATAATAAAATGTTTGCATTGGCTCAAAAAAACCAAGGATTAGAAGAAACTTGAATTCAAAAGAACCAACCTACCAACTATAACTAACTACTGACCAATACAGACCAATTTTGTTTTTGATCCACACATATGCAGGTGTGCAAATTTGTGACCTCATTGCTCAAAATCATGTTTTCAGATTTCCATCAGTGACACAAAATGACCACCGGAGGCAACGGTGGACCAGCAGCTTCTGTGTCCCACGTGCTAAAAATGACTGATTTGTTCTTGGTCTTAATTTGGAGCAGCTGACTTTAGAGTCTAGTCTGTAGTGTTTAGATAGGGAACCCAAAGAATGATTTATTTTCATGTTCACAGTAGTTTTTTTGTTCGGACTAAGAACGGGGATGATCCTGGTGATTTCAGTAGAAGAACATTCTCCCTGTCATTTAGGGTGGGAATGTGGCTCCGCTCTCTCCAAGTCTCCTCTCCCTGTTCACTGGGTGGAGTTTCTCCCCTCTGTCTTTCATCTGACCTATTTATTGTTCTTTCATTCTCTCTTGTCTCTTAAAATGTTTGTTGTCTTCCTTTGTCCTTCCAGTCTTTTTGATTGAACCTTTCTTCCTTTACTTTTTGACACTGTTTTCTTCTGTGTTTTCTCTTTCTGTTTCAGTTTGTATCTCCATCCAATTCCTCCTTCCTATTCTGAAGTCCTATCCTCAGCTTCCGTACTACTTTTCCTTCCTTCTGTCCGTCCGTCCTTCCTTCCTTCCTTCCTTTCTTTCTTAATCCTTTCCCTCCCTTCTTCTGTCATTCCTTCCTCCTTCCCTCCTTCCTTCATTTCTCCCTTTTTCTGTCATTTATCTCTCTTTTCTCTCCTTCCCTCAATCCTTCTTTCATTCCTCACTTCCTTCCTTCCTTCTTTCCTGCCTACCTTCCTTCATTCCTCCTTTCTTCTGTCATTCCTTCCTCCTTCCCTCCTTCCTACCTTCCTTCCTTCATTCCTCCTTTCTTCTGTCATTTCTTCCTCCTTTCTCTCCTTTCCCCCCTTCCTTCTGTCATTCCTTCCTTCCTTCTTTCCTGCCTTCCTTCCTTCATTGCTCCTTCCTTCTGTCATTCTTTTCTTCATTTCGTCCTTTCTTCTTTCCTTTCCCTCCTTCCTTCTGCCATTCCTTCCTCCTTTCTCTCCTTCCCTCATCCCTTCTTCCATTCCTTCCTTTCTTCCTTCTTTCCTGCTTTCCTTCCTTCCTCCTTTCTTCTATCATTTCTTCTTGTTTCTCTCCTTTTTTTCCCTCCTTCCTTCTGTCATCCCTTACTCCTTTCTCTCCTTCCCTCATTCCTTCCTTCTTTCCTGTCTTCCTTCCTTCATTCTTCCTTTCTTCTGTCATCCCTTACTCCTTTCTCTCCTTCCCTCCTTCCTTCCTTTCTCATTTTTCTTTATTACCAGCTTCCTATCTTTTCATTTTTTTGCCCCCCCCCCGTCCCCCACTATTTATCTTTTCATTCCTTAAATTCTTCTTTCACCCCCAACCACCCTGTACTCCCTCAACCCCCCACTCCTTCTCTACTCTCTGCTCCTTTCATTTCCCTCCTCTCTTCCCAGGGCGTGGCTGCGGATCAGTTTCCACACTGAGACTGAATCATGTTTTCGGGATTCTACTCCCTACTTTCCTCATAAATTATCTGACTTTACACTTTGTTTTGTTTTTTTACATCCAAGTTGTTAACTTTATTCTAGGTTATTTCTCATTAAACCAAACCACCCACTCCTCCACACCAAAGTCACTGGTGACATTGGCTCAATAACGTCAGTCAACTAACACACACCCTCAGCACTAATGTTGTCATCAGCACTAATGTCCTTCAATTCGGTTGTCACTTACGTTACAAACTGTTTTTTATTTTATTTTTAGTGTCGTTGCTAACAACAGTCCAGGCTGATTCCACATTTTCATATGTCCATGTCTCAGGAGGAATTGTGTGATTTAGTACTGTAAATGAGCTCAAGCCTAATTAAGACCAAGATCCAAAACAAAAATGTTCATCATTACACTGCATTCTTTACAACAGCTGATAACGTTTTATATTAGGTGAAAAAAAAAGGATCATAATTGAACTGATAGAAATCTTACATCTGTGTGCTTTTACGATGCGGTCCAACACAGATCAACTGCGGGACTTGTAGAAATCAAACCCAGGCGTGGAAAACACCCTGAGATAAGAAACGATTAAAAAAGGAGGAGGAGACAAAGAAGACTGGGCCACCAATGTAGACACCTACGGTACTCTTTACATAGTCTGGATAGCCTTTAAAACCACTCCTTCACTGCGTCATATTGACGAAAACCCAGTTGTTTCGTTTATGGATCCAAAACATTGACAGATTATCTTTGAAGGGAAAAAAAAGTAAAGGGATATGACTGGATTCTTTCGGAATGAAGTAAATTATTCAAACTGAAGTACTTTTTTTTTTTTCACTTTGTCCCACTGCGGCCCGGTACCAAATGACCTACGAACAGGGACCGGTCCTCGACCCAGGGGTTGGGCCCCCATGCTCTACATCAGGGGTGTCAAACTCATTTTCACCGGAGGCCACATCAGCAATACAGTTCCTGTTGAAGGGCCGGTTTTAAATGGAAGACTGTATAGCTCAGGGGTCCCCAACCCCTGGTTCGTGGACCAGTACCAGTCCATAGGTCTTTTGGTACCAGCCCGCAGTGGGAAAACAGTGAAAAAATGAAAAAAATTCTAATTTACTTCATTAAAAAAATGATTTATTTGACGATAATCTGGCAATATTTTAAAATAATAAATAATAATAATAAATAATAAAGTCATTCAGACTTTGATACAAACAGAACAGAGTCTGGTATAGATGTAGCTCACGTATCTGCAATTGATTATTATTTATTCAAGCTACAAATATTGTTCA